TTATGAAAAGCTACTTTAATTAATTTAATCATAATTGTTCCTCAACTCCATGAGGCTGCCGTTTGTGGAGGATAGAGTTCGTAGCTAGACACCGTAATGTGCAACGACTACACGCGTAGCCATTCTATGCTATGCCTGTAGTTTTACTTATACAGCCACACTAGAACCGCACATATTGTTGAATATTATTATTATCGAAGCTATTACTAGTAGGTAAATTAAAATAGCACATATATATCTCTTTCTTTACTGTTGCTTCCCTCCTCCTTCCCAGCAACAGTCGAACTTTTGCCCGTGAAATCAACCAAACAACCGAAAAACCAAAAAACCAAACAATTATTCCCGAATACGAATACCCCCAACCCCATAAATCAAAGCAGATTCAGATAGAGACGCCTACCAGAAAGGCATAACAGACTACTCCGCCTCCTCTTCTTCCTTGCTTGCAGCCAGGAAGAACCGACCCTTGGGCTTGCCGGGCTCCTCGTACTCGAGTGTAAGGCGCGCCAGGTGACCGAGCAGGTTCTCGATCTTGAGGTCGCCCTTGTCGCGCTTGGCTCGACCCAAATTGTCGAGCCACTTGAATTTGTTGAGCATGAAATACACAAGGGCGATGACGATTTCCACGCCCAGTGAGTAGCCCCATACCCGGACGACGGTCACGATGTCCGTCCAGCCGTTGGTTGTCTCCACGAATTTGTCTGCGGGGTTTGTGGGCATCGTCTCGTTGGTGAACCAACCGAACAGGCAGAAGATGGTAGCTAGGATGTCCACACCCAGGATGGCGGCGACTAGGTGGATCGATGGCCATGTGTCTGCACCGCGAGTGACGAAAATGAGCCAGTTCTCCGTCAGCGCCACTTCCAGAAACAGCACTTCTTGAATGGAGCCCCAATTCTGCACGATACCTCCGGACGGTAGGAACATAGAACCGCGGACCACCCAGGTGCCCAGCGCAAGGAGAAGACCGAGAAGCACTGAAATGAACCAAATTTTCGGAAGTTGCCACTCCACAGGTCGGAGTTCGAACGACGCATTATCATATGCCACTGCCACGGTTGCCAGATCCGCAAAGAGGGCCAAGAATACAATCAGTTCCACGCGAATACTCTCGTTGATGATAATCATCGACGTGACCAAGTAGATCTCCAAATGCAAGCAGAGGGCGATACGGTATTGAATATACGCCTTCATCCGGTGGAAGATCTGCCGCGCCACTTTGATCGAGTCGATGATAGTCGATAAGCCTGGCTCCAAGAACACGATGTCTGATGCTGATTGCGCTGCTTCTGATGCACCTTCCACCGCAATACCGCAGTCCGCTTTCTTCAAGGACGGGGCGTCGTTCACACCATCTCCAGTCATCGCAGTTAGATGCCCTCGGTCCTGAAGCATCTGGACCACCTGGTATTTGTGTTCAGGGAAGACCTCTGCAAATCCATCTGCTTTTTCAACCAAGTCCCCGGCCATCGCCCCACTGAGACCGCCGTGGATAAGCTTGTCCGAGTTGAACACTTTAGTGCCAAGCGAAAGCATCTTGCAAGTTTCCTTGGCAATAGCCAATGCGTCACCAGTAAGCATCTTAACACTGATACCGAGGTTCTGGGCTTCATGGATCGTGTGCGCCGTGTCCTCTCTAGGCGGGTCAAACATCGGGAGCATGCCAAGCAAGGTCCACTCTTCGCCTTCTTTCTGCACCGCAACACCAAGGGAGCGGAAGCCACGGTGGGCAAATTCTTGCGCTTTGGTTTTGTAGAGGTCGGAGGTCTCTTTGGAGCAGTTGGTCAGCTGGAGCACAGCTTTGGGGGCTCCCTTGGTGCAAGTGTATCTGATGCCATCGCAGCTTGCAACGGTCACGATACGCTTGGAAACCGGGTCGAAGGGTTGGTATTTCTCCGTAGTCCAGCCTCGACGCAGGATCTCGCGCGCCTTGGGATACTGCCTGAGCGTGAGGATCGTTACTTTGTCGATCGGGTCCAGAGATTCAATGTTGTGGGACGACGCCAGGACGGCCACCGCAAACATCCAATCGATGTCGACCCCTTCCGCGACATAAGGATCCCGGATGCTTAGCTTGTTGGCTGTAAGCGTGCCGGTTTTATCGGAACACAGGATATCAACGCCCTGATACTAGGTTAGCTATGGTACTCTCTCTCACCATGACAGACACGACTTACCGCCAACGATTCAATTGCCGTGAGCTTTTGCACAATCGCCTTCTTCTTGGCCAAGTAGGCCGCACCCACGGCCATGGTGGTGGTGGTCACCACAGGAAGACCAACGGGCACACCAACGATGAGCAAGCCCAGGGTATAATGGAGGAGGGTCTGCTGGCGAGGGGAGGCGATAGGCAGATGACGGAAGAAGCCGCCGATCCATGCTGCAAGGATCCAGGCCATAACGAGAATAAGGAGCGAGGTACCGATGTTGTCCATGACGATTTCGAAATGGCCCGCGCCGCGCGCGGACTGCACCATGCTGGCGGTTTTACCCACAAACGAGGTTTTTGCGCTAGTCTGGACCACGGCGTAGGCTTTCCCACGCTTACAGCCGGTCGTGTAGTAGATCATATCGCCCATATAACGATCGACTGCTAGGGACTCTCCAGTAATGGCCGAGTGGTCGCAGGCCAGGATCGGGTAGCCTCGCCTGCGTCTCGGGGCCGGCTTTGCTTCGGCCCCCTCACCCTCCTCGCCCCCCTCACCCTCTTTCTCAGTCTCTTTGTCCTTACCCTGGTTATCCACATCTTCGATATCAGATTCCGAAGTGCTGCTGAGATCCCCCTGGGTCTGCATGGTCTGGAATTCTTCCCATCCGTTGGGGTCATTAACATCACAGATCACTTTAGAATCAGCCGGAACGACGTTGCCATCACCAATGACGATCTACCGTGCCGTTAGAAAGGGACGAAAAGCATGCACAGCGCGATCTCCAGGTATACATACCACATCACCAGGCACAAGTTCTTTGGCCAGGATCTCTTGCTCTTGTCCATCACGGATGACCTTCGCCCTCATGGCAATGTCTCCTTTCAGACTGGCCACGACATCGGCGGCTTGCTTTTCCTGATACCAACCCACAGCGGCGTTCAGGCACAGAATACCGATGATGACACCGAAATCGATCCAGTCGTCCAGACCGGCAGCGAGAAGCACGGCCAGCTCCATGACTGCAGTCCTGTTAGATTTCCTGTGTTTGCAGCCTAAATGGAGTGATCATCTCCCACGGGTGACAACTTACCGTAGAGAATGGGCCCTCGGAAATACGATATGACCTTGGCGATTGGGTTCTCCTTCTCCGAGACCAGCTCATTCCACCCGGAACTGCGTCGTCGAACGTGGACCTCGGAGGAGGCGAGACCCTGGTGAATATCGGTGATGCGCCACTCGTCCGGGTACTGCCCTTCTTCTGCGGGCTTGCGCCTGACATGAACCTTGCGCTTCTTCCAGGGTGCGTACCAAACTCTTTTCACTTCTTCGTCCTCCTGACCTTCGTCTCCCCGACCCTCGCGGTACGTGGAAACGTACTTGACGAGCTTGCCATACTCGTCAAGGTTGGCATAATCTTCCTTGTAGGAGACCCGGGAGACACGTCTGGAGGCACGACCCTCAGACGTGGAGACACGAGTTGGCGCCGTGCGTTCGACGTCACCGGAGGCAGCGCCGCCTTCCTGAGCCATCTTGCCGGCTATAGTATGAAAGTAGGGGGGACTCGATTCGCAGGCCCTCTGCTCTTCGCACACCGCCGCGTATAGTACAAATGAACGGACCTGGGGAGGGGAAAAGACAGAAACGAGAGGTCAAACGGAATAACGATAGAATGTGAAGTAGAAGAGAGAAAAGGAAAAAAGGATGTTGTAGAACTGGCACGAGAAGAGAGCTGCTGCGTTGCATCGATGGGCTTGTACAAGATCAAGACTCTAACAGGCAGTGGATCCCACTGGCAGGGACCATCGCACAAAGATTATCATGCTGACGTAGTCGAGTCCAGGAGAATTCCTGAGAAGCTCAGTGGTGATAGGTACCTGTGTTACCCCTTTCGGCAAGGCACCACTGGGGCAGTGCCTGTCATGCTCAGGACACCAGCATGATTAGAGCCATGACTCCTTGATTCAACCATGGCTGGAACTTTGTTGACGTAGATCATTTTTCAGGTCCATCCGAGGGATCCGATGGATTACGGGCCGGGTACACCAGGGAACAAACGCCCTTCATTTGCTCTGGCGTCCCACCGAAGTATATAATAGGGTTCATGCAACAGATGACTCGGAAGAACCGAGTGAGCCGAGACTGATTTCCATGGCCGTGGCTGACTAGCGGAGGGGTTTGGTCGCGGAAGAGCCGTGGAACGAGTCGACAGGGGAGATCAGGATGAGAGGGGTTGCATCAACATCTCGGGATCTGCTGTACAAGATAGATCGGAGAAATGATCATCAAACGAGACGATCGATCATTGTGGGGTATGTAACTCTGATGGATCCACAGTGAAGAACGAATGATGAAGTGAGAAGAAGAAAAAGACGAACTGCAGAGGCTGACTAAATGCTGAGTCACAGCGGCCTGAGGCCAGTGGGGTCGAGATGAACAGACATCACCACTCGTCATTGCTGGACTGTGTACGGAGGGAGATTGTGAAGACAATATTGGCCGGTTGGGGTTAAAAAAATACTTATCATCTACGACTGATCTGTCTACCTGGATATGCCGTAGAAACATTTAAACTGTATGCCATTTCATAGAGCACCTCCTCCTTGGATACCAGTCGAGACGGCACCAAGTCCTTTCCCTGAACTACATCCAGTAATGAGAATATCATGAAAAGAATTAGAAGCTGATCTACGGAGTTGAAATCCAGATGCGAAGGAGCGAGGTAATTATATGAATCCATGCCGTCACCACCCGCTTGGCAGTGGCTATGGATGCAACGACAATCACACGCCTCGCAGGAACGATTGGTTGCAGCCTAGTTGCTCAACGGGGTACACGATTGAGAAACGAGATACCTGATAATGATTATTGATGTATTTCTAGACCGTGAAGGGGTTGTCTCCGGCTCTATTTCATCAAATCCATTCCAAAACGTAAGGCGCCATAGCCTGCCGCGATTACGAACATTTATTTGCCCGTCTTGCCGGTGGGAATGTTGAACAGGACGGCCGGCTGGCCCGGAGCGTAGGCCCGGTCGACACGGTAGTATCCCTTGCGCTCGAACTGGATGATCTCGCCCTGCTTCAGGTCGGCCACGTTGCAGTCGGCCACGGCGTCCTCGCGGAACTCAGTCGTCTTGTTCAGCACGTCCTCGAGAGCATCCTCCTCCTGCAGGGTGTCCTTGTTCAGGAGGTAGTCGAAGTCCACCAGCTCCACTGGCACCAGTTCCTGGTCCGCCGACAGCCAGGTGACCTTCTTCTCCGTCTTCTTGAAGTCACCCTCCAGGTGGAGCTCCAGCTCCAGCTCCTGAACAACACCCGCGGCGTCCGCCGTGATCTTGCGCACAATGGCATTGCCCCAGCCCATCAGCGTGACTTCCTCATCCTGCTTGAAGCTCTTGGCATCCTCCTGGTCGAAGAGGAGCGAGCTGCTGTAGACGACCTTCTTCTTGCCGACGGCCGGGTTCTTGACATGGCTGGGCTTCTCCTCCGAGTAGGGCGCCGCGGGGCCCTTCTGGGTGATGGTCGCCTTGACCAGGTCCTTCTTGAGGACGGCCGTGTGGCGAGGCGCGACCGGGTCGATGTACTTCCTGTTGGTGGCCCAGATCAGGGTCCAGTCCAGGTTGGTGATGTTCTTGCTCGGGCCCTGCTTGAGGATGAACTCCCGCAGCGCGGGAATGGTCATACCACGACGGCGGATACCACGGATGGTGGGGAATCGGGGATCATCCCAGCCCCAGACCACGCCCTCGTCGACCAGCTTGGTGAGCTTGCGCTTCGACAGCAGGGTGCGGATGAAGTTCATGCGCGCAAAGTCCCAGACCTGCACGTGACGGAGCTTCAGCGTATCCAGGAACCACTGGTACTGGGGGTTTCGGTCCCGGTACTCGATGGTCCTCAGGGCGTGGGTGACGCCCTCCATCGAGTCGACAATCGGGCAGCAGAAGTCGTAGGTCGGGTAGATCTTCCACTGGGTGCCAGTGCGGTGGTGGGGGCTGGGGTTGCAGCGGTAGATGACGGGGTCACGCATGGCCTTGTTGGGGTTGTCGACCGACATCTTCGCGCGGATGCACCAGCGCTGTCCCTCCTCGCTGCCCGTCTTCATCTCTTCGAAGTGGGCCAGGTTCTCCTCGACCGACGCATCACGGCGCGCGCTAGGCAAGCCGTCCATGCGCTGCTTCTGCATCACTTCCTTCTCCGTGTCATCGGCGTAGGCGTTGCCCTCCTTGATGATGCGCACACCGTAGTCGTACAGCTCATCGAAGTAGTCACTGGTGTAGCTGGTGCGGTCCGGCTTGATGCCCATCAACGCCAGATCCTCGACGATGGCCTGCTCGAACTCCATCTTCTCCTTGCTGGGGTTGGTGTCATCGAAACGCACAAGCAGCGTGCCGTTGTACTTCTCGTGAGCGAAGTAGTCGTTCAGGAGGGCAGCCTTGGCGTGTCCGATGTGCAGGTACCCCGAAGGCTCCGGGGGGAAACGGGTCACAACGCCCTTATCGGTGTTGTGCAGGGCGATGTCGTAGCTGGCGCCCTCCTTAGCCTTGGCCGATTTCTTCTCCTTGGCAGTGGCGTTGAGGGCCTCAATGGCCGCAGTGGCCCAGGGGCAGAGCTCCTCCAGGAAAGTAAACCACCGGGTCAAGTTGACCAGAGCACCCTTGCGAACGGCCGAGATACCGACACGGTTGCCCCGAATGGCACCCCAGAGGGCAATGTCGGCAGTGGAGAGGGCGTATCCAACCACGAACGACCGCAGAAGCAGATGGGTGTTCAGGCGCTGCAGCTGAGTGTCCAGCGCCTTAAAGTCGAGCGTAGTAAAGGACTCGAGCTGAGAGAGCCACTCGTTCTCCTGTATTAAATCATTTCCGGTTAGACAAAGGGTCCATCTACTTTTTTCTTCCCGTCCGCGCGGGATGGGAGTACAGGGTCCGTCTTACCAGTTGCTCATCCTTGCTCTTCAAGTAAGGGAAGCTAGACTGCAACTCCCGCAGCGCATTCACGGTCCCATACACAGGAGTGCCACTGGCTCCAGTAAACTGAACCACGGCCTTATCGCCCTGCTGGAGCTCCGCAGCATCCTCGTAGGTGATCTGGATGACCGGCTCCGGGCGGGACTCATTGATAGAGGTCGCAACCAGAAGCACGGGAAGCAACAGGGCTTGGTTGGCCCGAGTAGCCAAGGTAAGATTGACTTTCGACATGATTGAATTAAACCCCTTCAAACGTGCAGGATTGACCGAACAAGAGGAAGAAGTGGGGGAGAGTTGGAGGGGCAATTTCACCCGTTGGTGTTGGGTATACTCGGCCGCCGCGTTTCTCCGCCCCGAACCTCCGAGAGAGCTTTCGGGACCAGAAAACAATTCCATCGACCGTTCTTGTCTTGTCGCTCGTTGTCTCCACACCACTCTTCATCCACCCACGTTACCTCTCCAGCGGCCATGTCCTCTTCATACGGCTCTCTCCTGCCGTCCGCGGCAAGGAGTGTCTTGTCGTTATGCCGACCTCCTCTCCGTCAAGCGCCAATGGCTCCTTTCCTCGCCGGCTTCCAACAACAGACTCGCGGTTTCAAGAAAGGAAAGAAGGAGAAGAAGGAGAAGGAGGCCGCAAAGAAAGCTCGCAAGGGACCGCGGGATTTCATCCAGAAAGACCTCAAGGATATCGAGCAGTTTGCGCTGTGCGACGCGATGAGGTAGGTCGACCGTTTCTTTACTCCGGGAGAGAGGAAGAGACCCGTCTGGCTGACCACTTATTCTTCCCGCAGGTACATTCGCGCCTTCGAGGTTGGCCGTGACCCAGCAGTCACCAAGTACGAGATTCACGTTCGATTGAAGACGAAGCGCGATGGACCCGTCATCCGCAACATGCTCCGATTCCCGCACTCCGTCCAGACCGAGTCGCGGATCTGCGTGATCTGCCCACCGGGGTCGAGACACGAGAAGGAGGCGCGCGCGGCGGGCGCCGTCCTGGTTGGTGAGCAGGAGGTCTTCGACAAGGTCAAGAACGGACAGCTTGAATTCGACCGCGTCATCTGTCACCCGGACAGCTTGGAGGCGTTGAACAAGGCCGCGCTGGGCCGCATTCTCGGTCCCCGAGGGATGATGCCGAGTGCGAAGACGGGCACCGTCGTTGAAGATGTGGCCAACCGTGTCGAGATGCTGCGTGGCGGTACCGTGTACCGCGAGCGTGATGCGGTTATCCGACTTCCCATCGGCCAGCTGCGCTTCTCGCCCGAGGAGTTGCGGGACAACCTGCGTGCCACCCTCAACCAGATTAAGAAGGACGCCGCTGGTCTGAACGACCGTATCACGAAGGAGATCTACGAAGTGGTATGTTGATTCCTCGTCCGCGACCGGATCGGTCACAAGCGACCACACTCTAACAAGTTATAGGTGCTGAGCTCCACCCATGGGCCTGGTTTCAGCTTGACCGGAGAGTTCTCGAGCGACAATTCCCCCGACACCGCCTTACTGCGCGGGATGTAAATTAAATTAGCCATTGACTTGTTTTTGGGTGTACAGATTATGTTTCAATAGGAAGGAGCTGGTGTATAATGGGAATTCATTCAAATATATAGTCTAAGAAAAGGGAACCAACGGGGTCTCCAACGCCGACGCTATGCCAAGTAATAAAACAGAAGGGAAGGAGTTAGGCAGAGGGAAATAGAAAGTACCGTGAGAGTGGCACTATAATTTTTTCAAGTTCTTCAGGGTCGACACGGCACTGTTGTCCTCTCCCATGAGATTGTAGAGGCGCAAAACGGCCATAGTTTTGGTGTCCTGTTTATCGCCCGCCCGACTGGCCTGTTCGAGGGCGGTCTTGAGATCGAGAAGGAGAGCCGCGTTGATCTTCGCGATGCGCGGCTGCTGACTGACAAAGAACGGGTGGTCTCCCCCAAGCCGGGACGACAGTTGCATCAGGTAGACGTATTTCTGAATGTGATGTTCGAGCCTCTTCAGCGACACCAAGGGCGCCGTGGCCGCTCCGTTAGTGAGAAGCCCCTCGTCGCCGCTCTCCTCACTATCCGTGTCCAGCCCATCATCGGAATCCGTCCCGGAGCCATTGTCCGTATCCTGCCGCTGCGTAGCCGCTGTTGTTGACGTCAAACCCGCCTCCCCGATCATCAGCCTCTTCTCCAGCTCGTCCACCCGGTCCGCGTAGTCCAGCAAGGCGCGACCGAAATTGGCATTCCCGCGGAGCCGCCTCTTCTCGTTCAGCAGCTGTTCCATCTCCTCGTGGCGGGCTTCGACCCTCTCCCGGATTGTTTGGACGTCGCGCTGGAAGGAGAGCAGGCCCACGCGGATCTGCTCGACCTTCTCCTCGCCTCCGTGCAGCGCGGACCCCAGTGACAGGAAGTCCTGGTAGTTATGGTTGACCAGGTCTAGAAGTTCCCTGCCGAGGAGCTGGTCCAATTCGCGCAGCTCCTGGCGGAGGTCTTCTAGGCTCTGGTGTCGGTTGGTCAGGGACGAGAGGTACTCGGCTGGGTCGAAGTCGGGGGCGAGGAAGGAGGAGCGGGACAGGGGTTCTGGAAAGGGGAGGCCAGAGGGATCATCGTCAAGATCGGATCCCGAGTCGTCGGGTTCGCCAAACTAGAGGAGCGCGATTAGAACAATCAGTCCAAGAGAGTTCAGGGAGGGACCGCAGGTGGGTGGGGGGGGGGGGACCATTGGTGGGATCATGGTCTTGCGGGGAGGTGCATACACGAAATAGGTTCATTTCGGGAGTCAAACCAAGGATATATGAATGGACGAGTGGATGATATGATTTTTTACGCGCGGATTGAAAAGGATGTGGAGAGAGGGAGTCGGAGAGGGTGCAGAAGGGACGTGAGATGGAGGAAGTTGGTTGGCGCGGAGTACGGGATCGTCTCGACTACTAAGAGCCCAACCGTGGCTTTTCTACTTGGAGTACAGAGTATACACTTCAACTACTACACCTACCTACAATAGGGATTTGGTTTATTTGGCTTATATTCCATGGTTCTTGGCTTTAAGATAGCTCGATCCATCTAAAACAGTTATTCTTGAATCACCACTTACAGTTTTTTATTTAGTATGTGTTACAAATCCAAGACTCATCCTATATTGATCTAGCTTCACATCTTGAGATATCTATGCAAGCCATGCAGGAAGACTAAAGATAGGACTCTTTTCCCTTCCCCAGTCTATACGATCCATAATGATTCTCCCTTGCAATACCGGCCGTAGCCGTCTTTAGCTCGTCCAGATAGCTCTGATACACCCCTCGCGGCGTCGTGCCATACTTCCGACACAGGAAAGCCGCGACGGCAGTCGCAATTCCATGATGTCCTCCATTCCCCATAAACTTAGTATTGGAGTTAGCAACGTGCGTAGCACTCATGTGCTTCCCAGCCATCATAAGGTTCGACACATTGACCGAATACAGACACCGAAACGGGATATCGTAGGGTTTCTTATCGCGCTCATCCCACTCCCAGTGCTTGAGCTGGAAGTCGTATTTCTCGTCGCCGGGGTAGTGCAGACAGAAAGCGCCATCATTCTGGACCACGGCGTCGGGAAAGGGCTTGTGCGTGCGGATATCCGTCTCGGTGAGCACGTAGTCGCCCTTGTAGCGATGGTGCTCGCCCTGCGCCGGCACGAAAGCCACCCAGTCGAGGGCGAGGTTGGCGTAGGTGTCGGGCTCTATGGTCTTCACGTTGGAGAATGTGCCGTAGATTGCGCGGAGCAGGTGGTCGCGAATGTGCTCCCCCTGGGTATACGGGTCCAGCCACTGGCCGTACTCCCAGAAATGCGTGAGTCGGCCCTTGATCGTGGGGTCGGGAACGTGGCCAGGGGGTACGATCACCGGTCCGGGGCCATTCTCTCGGCCAGGCCGTCGTAGTTGGCCTCGGAGGTCGGTGTAGTCTTTGGCTACCTCCGTGGCCCACGGTACGGCGGGGAAGAAAACTGGGGAGTCGGCCATTTTGGTGCGGAAGAAGACGGTGTTGCCGTGGTGCATGGTGTCGCCCTTGACCGGCGCGAGGCTCTCCCCGTACTCCGCCCGTGACTCCTGCCCGTAGAGCGTCTCTGCGCCGGAAAGTCGTCCGAGGACGGCGGTTCCCGAGCCGTCGATGAATACGGGGGCGGAAATCCGCGTCTCTCGGCCGCTGCGGGCGTGTCGAGCGTCGATCGACTTGATGCTAGACCCTGACGTGACGGCGTGGTATACGGTGTGCTCGAGGAAGACTGTGGCGGTTGGTTCAGCTTCCAGCAAGCGTACCGCCAGCAGGTCACCATCCTCGGTCCTCGCAGAGAACTCATCCACCAGCGGTCCGGTCCATCCCCGCGGACTGAGGCCAATCTCCACGCTAGCGTTGCCACCCAGAAAAGGACGGTCCTACACCAGGGCCACTCGCTGGCCGAGTCGAGCGGCCGTCAAAGCGGCCGCGGTGCCAGCTACGCCCCCTCCGACGACAACGACATCAAAAGATCCACCATCGACAGGCTCTTCGGGGAGTCCACGCAGCCGGCGTCTCCATGCGCGGGATGCCTCATTGACTGCCGCGGGTGGTGCCGTATCCTCCGTAGTGAAGAAGATGGCGTCACAGCGACCACAAAAGCCGGTGAGGTCGTGCAGCGCCAATGTGACGTCTCCCGCGGCCAGATTTACCTGACCTCCCAGTTCCCAATTTCAGTCTCGGTCGTTGGCACCGAACTCAGTGGGGAGGCGTTCCCCACCGACGGAGAGGGTGAATCTCCCGGGATGATGCCCAAAAACCCAGTCTTTGGCGCGCACGCAGACGTTGTACCGCGCGGTGTTGGGGATGGAAACAACGGTATTGGCATCCGCTACCGGGGTGCCATTTCCGTGGGCCAGCAGGTATGGGGATCCCATCTCGTTCTCAAACTGGGAGTCCATCACCCAACCGCCGAAGTCATCGAATGACTCGGCCTCCACGAGGATGCCCATAGGGTATGGTTCAGAGTTCATGATGGCTTGGTGACTATCGAGTGGGGGATGTCATGACCGTACGGAGTAGCAGTGGACGATTGGGCATCTTCGGGGATATATAGTACCATGAATGTTCGGCCCTCGGTAGTCGATACCCTCATTCGCCTCGGTGATCCATGCGGCTTTGATTTCAGGCTATGACTTTATACAAGTAAGGTCCATACTTGAGAATGAAAAGACTAATTCTTTGAATGTTTCAATATAGGTTGAAAGCTCTACATCGTTACCCTGACCATATCGCAGTCAGTATCCTCGACAATCACTCGAATAGCTTCACTCTGATATTGTAATCCGGTTATGTTTATATATCAAGGCAGTGCCCAACTACCTAGTTAAAACGTAACTACCAATAGGTACAAGTGTCAGATCAAGAAGAATACCTCGCAGTATCCCCATCTTGGAAACCTGCTCGGACAGACGTGGTAGCATTGCTAGACGCATATACATATCTCGGGGCTCGGCTCGGGGCTCGGCTCAGGGCTCGGGGCTCGGGTGATCTCCCGCCCTGGATCCCGCTCGGCGCTCGGTCCATCGTTACCTTGAGTCTTTATTGACTGATGATCTTGATCAGATCTCAAGTACTCCAATAAAGTCCGACCTTACTTTCAACGAAGGATGACTAGGATATCCTCATGCAGAGGCCATGGTATCACCGTGTAAGGATCTTCGTCAGCCATACATTTCTAGTAATCTATTTTGGCCCAATCCGGCAATGGTGGTCACCTGAGATACACTTCCCCTCTTTCTCCATCGCCATACCGGACCACGATGATCGTCCGGCTGCAGATCTGGAAACTCTGCAATTTACAAAGAAGTTCTCTTCCACCAGTGCAGCTCTGCGCTCATCCACTCAATCAGAAACCGCTGGTGTGGTGCTGCACCGCCAGCATGTCCGTTGTCTCGTGAGCCCATGCAGTCACCGAAACGTGTCACTGGTGTCTGACAAAGTCCACCAATCCCACCACAGAGGATCACTTTGAACAAGTGGACGGGACGTGGGAAAACAAAACGGTGGTGTCGTCGTATCTGCGTCTCCTCCCCCCCCTTCCCACGTTGTTTTGTCACGGACAAGGATCGCTCTGCCGGCAGTTAGTACCCCTAGTATTTACGACGGAGTACATCGCCCTTCCGACCCCCCCTTGCCCCTCCCCCCTCCTTCAAGTCGGGGAGATGGATCTGGAATACAGGTCGGACAGGGTGTCCACCCACCCTGACGCACCGTTGCGTCGTCCTCCTCGTCCTCCACATCCCCCTCGCCGGTCGCAGATTACCACCCCCTCCCACTCCACCCCGGTGGTCGAACCCGTTGGTCCCTCTCACCAACCCACCCCAGCTGGCAATAGCAATCGCGACTATATCCTCGATGAGTCGGCTCGTGCGTATCGTACCACGACCCTCCGTCAACTCAACGGGTCGTCCGCCAGACCCTGGTCCGCGAGATCGCGACATCAGGCCCATCATCATCATCCTCCCCCCACCCGGTCGACCCACGCGTCGCAGCCGGTACTGGTAAGAGCCTATTCAGGCGGTCCCCATGATTCCCAAGAAACGTCCAAGATGCCATCGCGGCGATCATTCCTCTTCACGGGTGGCTCTGGCTCCGGGTCCCAGAATCGTGGGCCCCCACTCCCGTCCCACGAGGACTTCGGCATCGATAGCATTCTACGCGCCATTGAACCCAACATCAGAGGCACCCTAGAGTCCATCGGCGAGATATGCGGTCGCAGCAAACTCAGCCTCGCCAACGAATACGGTAGCCATATCGCTCCCTTGGGCGAGATCCGCGCCCCGGCAGGCGGTCTCTTGACTGTCGAAGAGGCGAGCTCGGACCATGAACGACAGCTCGACAACGTCGTTATCTACGACGACGAGCCGAGTCTCCTCGACGGACGGGATGTGCCCCGCTCTCACGCTGATTACTGGGACCATCGTCTCCCGCATGGGGCGGCTGTCTATCCGTCCACGATACCCCTTTCTCGAGAGGCGCCGCCTGCCCAACCATCGGCAGACGCCTGCGGGAAGGATGCCCCGACAGTTCCGACTACGCGAGAGTTCGTATCGAGTCCCAAAACTGGCGGTCGCGCGTTCCTGCAGAAACAGGCGCACTCAAGCGGCGATGACCACAGACAACGGATCCTTACCCCGGCTGTAGTGTCCGAGGTGCTTCTCGACGCGCGAGCAGAAAGCCACCAACCCGATCCCCTGTTGACGTCGGACGGCGGCGCGGCAGAGACGGGGGTGGGCGCTGTGGACGCAGACGCGGACGTCAGACCGCGACGCTGGCGATCGCCTTCCGAGTCGGAACGGCCGTCGATGGGCGCAGATGCGCAGGCGCTATTTGGCTGGCTCAGGACTGCCCGCGACGGTCGGACCGATAGGCCGACGGCGGAGATGAGACTGCGAGCGATGTTGGAGAGGCCGCGGGAGGTGGCTCATGCAGAGTAGTCTTGTCTTTTTGACCTGGAGATGAGATCTACCATTACTGTCTACCCTTGATACGGTCTACACTGGATGTCAGATCTACCCTGATACCAGATTTATCTTGATATCGAATCTTACCTAGATGTCGAAATGGAACATGATACATGATCGAACTAGCTTCCTATATGACATACGCTCCAATGCGAATAGAAAACCACCTATCGATCTCTATTATCAAACCATGGTATGTAAATCGCTGTAGACACTAAACCCCATAACAAACCACCCCAACTAATTTCCCTCAATCTGCGTAATTAACGTCTTTGCAAATCCCTCAAACCGCCCATACGACCAACACTCGCGATACCGATCCACCAGCGGCCTCTCATCGGGCGTCCCCGTGTTCTCGTTCTCCAACTGCCTCGCTTCCCCTTCCCCATCATCATCACTCATATCACTATCATCGTCACCCCTCACAGCACCCCCCTCAACCAACTCCCCAAACTTCACATCAACCGGCACGCGGCCCAAGAACGGCACGCCCATCTCCCCCGCCATAACCTCACCCCCGCCACTCGAAAAAAGATTCGTCACCTCCCCACAGCAAGGACACGTATAACCCGACATATTCTCCACAACACCCAGCGTCGGAATCTGCGTCTTCACGCAGAAGTTCACCTCCTTGCGCACGTCGGACGTCGCCACCGCCTGCGGGGTCGTGACGAGCACGGCGCCCGCCAGCCGCGGCAGGGAAGATGCGGATGCCGTGTGCGCGTCTGTCGTGGAGAGGGTGAGGAGTTGTTCTGCCAGCGCGATGTGTTCGTCGCTTGTGCCGGGGGGCGTGTCAATTAGCAGGTAGTCTGTGGAGCCCCAGTTTACGTCGGCGAGGAATTGCCGGATCATGGCTGTTTTCTTGGGCCCGCGCCAGATGACGGCGTCGCCGCGGTCGCGGAGGAGGAAGCCGAGGGAGATGCAGCGGAGGGAGCCTCTTTCTCCTCCTCTTTCTTCTCGTTGTTGTTCTTGTTGCGGTTGTGATTGTGGTTGGGATTGTTCTTGTGCGCCGGAAGAGGAGGAGGGAGAGGATGTAGTGGCGTCATGCACAGTCACAGGCAACCAACCCCCCGGACCCTGAGTGATTTTGGCATCTTCGAGGCCGACGAGACGCGGGATAGACGGGCCTGTGAGATCGATGTCGAGGATGCCGACGGATTTGCCTTGCAGGGAGAGCGCGAGCGCGAGTTGGAGAGTCACGGAGGATTTGCCGACGCCGCCTTTGCCGGATAGGACCTGTTTTTGATTTCATGGTTAGTTATGATATTTAGTATACATATATATAATATAGTATTTATGTATGATCATTTGTTGTAGTGGATGGTGAAATTGTCACGGTTTGCGCCTCGCATGGAGGCGTTATCGATAAGCGGAGGAGGGGTATTTTCTCTTGTTCTTCTTCCTGCTCTCTTTGTTGGATAACTCACCAGCACAATATTCTTAACTCCCGTTAGAGGCATTCTCAGTCAATTAGTCTATATTGTTATAGATGATGGGTTTATTGCGGAGAGAGAATGGAAGGAAGAGAGAAATCCCGAATTAGTGCAGCTTTTGCGTCATCCCGCCATGCTTATCAATCACCGATTGACACCGCGCATTACAATCTATATTCTACGTTCGATCTACATAGTAGAGCTCCACTCGACATTGTCTAATCAATTCGTTTGATAAATTCTTGCACTTCATTACTGACATGCAATCCGTTCATTGCCATTTCTGCACCACCACTCCGCCACGTCTGAACTCCGGCAGGTCGGACAGGACCGTCGCCTTGTCCATCAACTCCTTGCTCGGGAACGTGGTCATCAAGGCCCACGGCCGCGTCTGGCTGATCGGGCTGGCTGCCGCGACGAACTGGTAGACGTCGCCGATCGTGTGGCTGGTGTTGAACCGCGCCGTGAGCCGGGTTCCATCGCCGAGACGCACTTGCAGCGTGACCGTCGGCTGGGACTCATCCACTTCGGGCGTGTTGGGTTCGGACACGGGTTGACTGGTGGCGGGGACGGGGGAGGCGGGGGCGGGAGACTGCACCCCGGGTGTCGGGCTGCCGAGTCGCTGTCCTTGACCCGAGAACGGCTTATACTTGGGTTTCGGCTTGACGTACTTCTCGTCGTGCTGTTTGATCTCCACGTCGACCTCCTGGCCCGGTTGCACGTTCATGATCGAGAGCGGCGCACGGCCCTGTCGGATGCCCTCCAGGATCTCCGCGTTTCGGGGGTCGTCTGACCGGTAGAGATCGCCGTCGTCGACGGAGAAGCCATCGGACCAAAAGTGAAGGGTGCGCTGGACGCGTTGTGCGGGTTGAGGTCGTTGAGGGGTGGGGGTGTCGATAACCCGGCTGGGGGCGTCGTCACCACCCAGGGTTCGCGCGGACCCCGTGAAGTGGGATCTTCTCGGCCCTGCATCGTCGGATTCGGGTATTTGAGTTCTATCGAATGAAGCATGGAGGTTAGCATTTGGGCTCCAGTTGTAGATGGACACCTGCCGCTGGTTCGTACCTTTGGGCCTTTTCGATGATCTTCCTCTTGATATCGTCGGGATTCTGCACAGCCAGTCCAGACTTCTCCCCTCCTGCGAAGAAGTCCTGATCTTCCGTGTCGTCTTCGTCGGTGGAGTCACCAGCCCCACCACTCTTGGACGTGTAGTCTCCCAGAGTCGCAAACCTCTTCTTGGGCGCTGCGCTACGGGACGTGGACGGCTGGTCTCCGCCTGCGGGCGACTGAGATGCGGCCGGCTGGTCCGATGGACCTCCGACTGACCGACCCCCGGCATTTGTCTCTTGTAAGGCTTCATCCTGCGCGGCGAAGAATTCGGTCACGCCCGCCTCCAAATCCCAACCATTGGCTGAGAGGTATTCTTTAGCCTGAGAGTATCCGGTGATCAGCACGGGTTCTGTTTAAAATGAAAGAAGCTAACGCCTACCTCTTCAGGGCCGGTTCTGGTCATAAGGCAGAACTGAGAGACGATCTCATCGTGTTCGGTGTTGTGCTCCATGATGGGATTCGAACGAGCTATGCGCGGGGATCCAGCGCAGATGTACGATTGGATGGCGATGGGTTTGCTCGGGGAAATCCAAGATACTCCGTAACTTAGTTGACTGTGATGGAGGAGAGAGGAAGATTGTCAGATCGTGATGGAGAAAGAACAACAAGAAGAACCTCAGGCCCAGATACGTCACTGCGGGCGGATTAGTCAGTCGGAGGACAGATCTTCCGATGGTCCTCAGGCAGCAACCAGTCATGATAGACCTCATTCTCTGTAGATTCATAGAGAATGATGTGATTGTACGAAGGAATCATAGCTGTAGGGACTATCCAACAGCAGAGTCTATTGATGTTGAATTGTACCTCGAATACGCCCTGAAGAGGTACCTGTAGGTACCAGGCAAGATACCGCTTACCTAAGCTAGCGATCCAATCAACTCGTCCAGTCGAATCCATTCCCATCCACCGCATCATCGCGACCTCGACAACAATAATCAAATCGTCCTGGATACCCTGAGACTGGATCTCATCTTTCATCTGGACTAATACTGTACATCCCCGCCCCCGGAGACCACGTACGATCCGCCGGTCTAGAGTCCGCTCTGTTCGTCCCTTCGTGGATCAACCCGCTCCCCGCATTCTCATCCCATCACCAACATCATGGCATCCGAACACCACTCGCAGTCGAAAGTGGAGTTGTACGAGTCCGGTATCACCGTGCCCTCGGATTCGGAGAACTACTCCGCCCACCAGGAGATGTCGTCGTCGTCGTCGAGCTCGCCTCTGATCCTCTACCAACCCCCGACCCTCTGGAGCCTCCTGCGCGGCGCGGCCATCAACCTGTTCCTCCCGTTTGTCAACGGTCTGATGCTGGGGTTTGGAGAGTTATTCGCACATGAAGCAGCCTTCCGGTTGGGCTGGTCCGGCACAAAGGTATGCTTGGCGCGCATGGGCGTTTTGGGTGGATACCAGCAATGTCCGATGGACACTGAGGAAGACAGTTGCTGATATTATTGTTTCTCGTATGCAGATTTTCCCTACCTATCGACGATCTCATCCCCTCGGTCCTGGAGTGGAAGTGCGGGATCTTCCCTCGCGGCGAGGCAGTCGTGCCGGTCTGGACTAAGCGGACGCGGTCCCGTTGCGATAGAAAAGATTCCCGGAATTTTGTCATTTAGAGGGGTTGGATACCGCGCGCGACATCTTTGGTTATATACTCTGCATTGAAACGGATTAATACATGATTCGTTACTGTCCATGGGATGTGCATAGATCCTCGGCACCCACAGCAGTGCCTCCGCGGACGGGGTCGGACAACTTGGACGACGCCCAGTCGATTCGCATTCACATCTGCTGTTTCCCTTCGCCATGTGTAGTATCCAGTAGCCATAGAATAAAACAGACCACTCGACAGACCATACAATGTTGATCTCGTCCTTCTGGCCGCCTCATAGTACATTCGGACCGGTTCCCGCCCGGCAGAAAAGCGGTCTTGGCGGGAAAAGTCCACCCGGATCCAAATCATTTCCCCGTCCAGACTCATTCCATCCGTTGTTTTCTTTCCCTCCCCCCGCTCTCTTTCTCTCTCTCTCCACTTTCTCTTCTTCCTCTCTTCATTCCTCACTCCCCATCTGACAATGCTGGGAGGCGCTGGACTGAAAGGCCGAGGCGCAATGCCGGCCATGGCCCGTCAACGGGTCGCCGGTTACTCTCGTTCGGTTTGTTCCGTCGCAGTCTCATTGCTGGTAAAGGAATCAGGACTGATTGGTGTCATTCTGTGCTGTAGATGTCCTCGCTCCGTTCGCGGCCCGCGAGCCTCTCGTCAGTCCGGATCGGAGGGCTTCATCGGTCTCTAAATGCCTCCCCGTCGCTCCGTTCCGCCTGGGTCATCCCCGGGGTGTCGGCCGCGCGATTCAACTCCACTTCGTCCACCCCCCCGACCAGCGGCGCTGCAGCGACCCCGACGGATCTCCCAGATGTCCCCGCGAATGGGACTGACGTCGCCGACCTGTCGGCCCTCGACATCAACTCGATCCCCGAGAAGATTGGGTACCTGAAGGATCTGGGGCTGGACTTCGGCTGGGGCCCGTCCGCGGTGATCGAGTACTTGATCGAGCATATTCACATTTGGTCCGGTCTGCCGTGGTGGGCCAGTATCGTGGGAACCGGTCTGTTGATCCGACTGGCCCTCCTCAAACCCATGTTCGGCGCGGCGGACACCTCCGCTAAGATCAACAACGTCAAACACATCACGACCCCTCTCCGGGCTGAAATGATCAAACACACCCGTGACGGCAACACGTCCGCCGCGGCGAAAGCCCGGGTGGACATGACTGAGTTGCACCGTGAACACGGAATCAAGCCCTGGAAATCGTTCGTCCCGTTCCTCCAGATCCCCTTTGGAATTGGCTGCTTCCGCGTGGTTCGCGGCATGTCGGAGCTGCCGGTGCCTGGGTTGGCCGCGGAGTCGGTGGCCTGGTTGCAGGATCTGACGGTGGCTGATCCGTTCTACATCCTCCCCGCGGTCTCGTCCATCGCGATGTACCTCAGCATGAAGGTATGTTACACTCTCCCACTAGGGGCTGAATTTCTTACTTTTCTCTCTTCCTTTATTCTTCACACCCGCTAATACGCTGTTGCGCGGTACAGAAAGGAGGCGAGAATGGCATGCAAGAAATGCAGAACTCGGCCTTTGGAAAAATCTTCTTCTACGGCATGCCCGCCATCTCTTTCGCCTTCATGGCCTTCTTCCCCAGTGCGCTCCAGCTCTACTTCACCGCAACGAGTATCTTCGCCTTGGGCCAAGCCCACCTGATGAACTCCAAGTCCTTCCGAAAGGCAATGAACATCGCCCTGCCTAACCCGCCGACCGAGGCAGACCGGGCCGAGCAAGCCCAGAAGATCCGTATGCTGACCGAGCTCCTGAACAAGAAACCCGAGCCGGCCGCGTCGGCAGCAGCAGCGGCGGAGAAAGATACAAAGCCGTTCATGGCGAGGCTCCAGAAGGAGTTCCACTCCAAGATGGACGAGATCCGCGGCTCGGCCCCCCAGACCAACGCCGACGGCTCCCCCGCGGAAGCGCCCCGGCTGAGCGAGAAGGACCGCGAGCTGGCGAATAACTACGAGAAGCGACGACGGGAGGAGGAGGAGTGGAAGCGCGAGGAGCGCAACCATGCGCGCCGCGCGGCGCATCTGCGGACGCTTGAGCAGGAGCGTGAACGTGCCCGGACGGCTTGGAAGAGCGCTGCTGCTGCTTCTTCGCAGGGGAAGAGACAGTGAGAGGCACTGATCGAGCGATGAGTAGAGGTGGGAGTTTGGGATTCCTTCAGCTTGTACTATATGACATCTTCCTCGCATTGTTGGTTTATGATAGGTAAATTAGGTCATAGATTGGCTGTATTGCACTATATATTGTTGTTCCTTTGTTTCTGTGTTTCATATCACTTGATTTGTGCCTTCTTGATTGTGGTCACCGATAGAATATATCAACATCTTTAAATTATTAGGCACAAGTACCCGAAAGGAATCCATAGTAAGTAGCAACTATACCATCGTTTGAACCCCCAGTGACAACAAGCAGTCGACCTACATTAGTAAACATTCAAGTGCCAGCTAGAGGGTACATATACAGCGAATCTACCAAAAGTTCAGTTACTTGGCTTTACATTGTCCTCGGTAGGTCAAAAATAATAAGGATGCCTCGTCCGCCCTAATAGTCCATCATATTTACTCCAGGTTGTGGTACATATGTATAACTTCCTACCCTCTTCACTCCTATTGTAGCTAGTATATCATGTGTCTGCTCTCGACTCTCGATGGTTAATTTCACCTACCGATGCTGCCTTGGCTGGTCTCTCGGCTAGAGTGGTGCTCATGGAGTATAGACCTAAGAGGGAGTCTCATCCTTCATCACGTCCTGACTCTTCTGTTGTTCTCCGAGACAGTGAAGGTATGGATGAGACGGATAGAGATAGAAAAAATATGCCTATATGGTTTGTTTATTTTGTCTTATCGTGTCCTTCGGTGGAGGCATGGCCGTGTGGGTACCACGAGTAGTCCAATGTGATTAGTACATTATTAGTACTATCTCAACTTCGTACGAGAAGAGATATGCAGGATTGAATGGTTGGTTGACATTCATTCATTCGCAGGCATGCTTCTATTGACTTCTATAATTCATCAAAAGAGTTGTTATCCAGTGTTTTTGTTGCACGCGCGTATCACAGCTAATATGTATTTGACGCGATAGTACTATGGGTATATAATTAGGGCTAGCATATATCTACCCATAACACTCTAATCAAGTAAATCCATTGAAGTATTAGCATATCCTATGACCCTCTATTAAAGATACCAATTAAAAAGAAAAGACATGAAATGCCAACAACTGTCGCGTCAGCCACACATCCAGCCAACCACCAACAAATCTATCACAAATATTAAATATAACCCAATCTACATACCACGCTCACCCGAGGACGTGTGAGCATAAACAGGCAAGCGAGGATTCACCGAGACGTCCCCGTCGTCTTTCGCTGCCTTGTCATCTACAGGACAGGTGTTGGACGACTCCGACTCCGACTCCGACTCCGACTCCGAGGTATGTACCTAGTCATTTTGTGAGCAGATGGACAAACGATGATCGGATAGTAAAAGGCACACGTACGATCACAAAGCGAGGATCAAGCTGGTGCACGTCCACGGGATTCTTCCAAACCCGCAAGTAGTGATCCCACTTTTCACCACTCTTCTCAGACTCCACAACAGCATAATCGCTCCCACCGTCGGGATAAACACTTCCAAACCGGACGCGGTCCTTATCGCCCTTGTTGGTCTTCACATCGCCGAACACAGCACCGGCGTCTTTGAACTCCGGCACCGTGCTGCCTCCCCCGCTGGCGGGTGTGTTGATGAGCGCCGTGACCTTGCCCTTATCGTCGACCCAGACCAAATCAGACCGGTTATCGCCGTCGATGTCGACGAGCTGCACGTCGGCGAGGTCGTGCTTGCTGTCCTTGCCTTGGAAGACCAGGCCCATGAACTGCCAGGAGACCTGGGGCTTGGTGGTACGGGTCTTGCGCTGTCCGCCATTGCGCCAGCAGTAGAGCTCGTTGTTGGCGACGAGGCAGCTGTATCGTTGATTAGATATTAATGTGTCCTGAGAGGAGAGGGAACATGAACATACTAGTCAACACGACCGTCCCCGTCGATATCCCCCAGACGCACATCCTCCTGTCCCAGGATACCGTCGAGGCCGGGACGCACGTGGCCGATGGACTCGAACGTGGGCGGGTTGCCGCCTTTGTTGATGGAGACGGACACGCCGCCGCTGTGAGCGATGCAGATGAAGTCATCTAAGCCGTCGTTGTTAAAATCGGCCCATCGGATGTCTACATATATCAGCCAGGTTAGTATATCAGGGACCACAGAATCCGAAGAAAGGAGAGAAGACGACATACCACTGGCCAAACACCCCTCCTTCACCCCAATCTCAACAGCCTTCCCAAACTTGCCCTTCCCATCATTCCCAAACATAAGCATGCTCTCACCGTCACGCGCCCAGACGAGCTCATCCACAGACGACTTCTCACCCTTCTTCACAAGATTCGCAAAGCGAACCCCAGAATAGGCTTCATCCGGATGAGGCGTCGACCCAATGCGGAGGACACGGCCCGTATCTTTCTCATCATCCCCACCATCGCCACGGCCACGCTCCTCGCACTCCCCACCCTTCTTCACCTCCTTGGGCGCCCTCAGCAGGCTCTCCTTCTCAGCCTGCTCGATAGCAGCCCACCACACGGCCGCCATCTTCTTATACCCGCCATCATTAGGGTGGGTCTTGTCATCAACAAGATCAGACAGCTTGATGAACTGGCTCATCTCAGCGAGCACGATCCGCTGGTATTCCTGTCTGCGCCTGCGCACGATATCGCGGTACTGCGTGTTGATGCGGTCCACGCGCGGCTGCACGCCGTCCACGCCGTTGGGGAGGAGGGTGGACAGGATGATTGTTGTGTCTGGGATGGTGAACAGGCGGTCGAGCATGGCGTTCATGCGTTTGTGGATGGTGTCGACGTCTTTGTCTTGGATGGCGTCGTTGGTTCCGACGCTGTAGAATTTATGAGCATAGCCTTCTGATGATTGTGGTGGCTATCATGGGTGAAGGTTCATACTTGATCAGAATCAGATTCGGCGCTTGAGGAATCGTCTTCTCCGCCTCCTTCGCGACCTGCTCGACGACGAACCCGGAGTGTCCTTCATTGTCCTAATTCCCTATTAGTTTATTTGGATCGAGCCTTGAGGTAGGGAGGCGTGAGGATATAAGGTCAACAAACATTATCCTCCATCTCCCCAGACTTAACACTGCCCACCATGTTAACGTCCCACCCCGCAAAGCGCATCTGCTTGCGCAGCCAGCCGCGGTAGCCATTCTTGTCGGTGGACTTTAAGCCAAAGGTGATGGACGCGCCGAGGGGCATCGTCCGCAAACCGAAGGGCTTCTCCTCTGCATTGTCGGTGTTGTTGTGGGCCCGAGTCTCGAGAGGATGAACCACCGGGGACGAGAAGACGGTGGGGGCCAGCAGGAGCAGGCTGGCGATGGCCAGCGGCAATGAGGTTGGCCTCATTGTGTAGTATGGATTACGGATGTCAAGAAGTGAAAGCTACTCTAGTTGAGAGATAATCCAGCGGAATAGATACTATTTATTCACTTCAACCTTATCCATGGGAACAGACCAGGATCGCATCAGCCCCCACTAAATATAGTCTTGAGGCTTAAGCTACCGTGACGGCTGACAGACCGACAAGTCCGCCCCCGTTTAGTGCTATAACAGATATTAGCATTGGGGTCGGCACGGGCTGATTGGCGCGCTGGAAAGCATATTATCAGCACTAGCGTTCGGCCGCCGTTGGGGTCGGTTTGAATGGATTCATTCGTATAGCGAGGCGGCCTGATTTTTGATTTCGTGCTCCGCCCGGAACATGATTGGGTCTGTGGACATGCCTTGGAGCTGGCTGGCCTGATCGTCGTGATGTTTCCCCAGTCTAGGATAGCCCGTAAGCTCCGGCGTATCTCGCTCGATCAACGTGGAGCCAGTCCAGCGCTGTCAGCACCAGCCGCTGCAGCCTGAGCTTGACCTCGCTTCTGCAGACTGACCCGACTAGAGCCCCTGTTGCCTCATTCAAGACGTGATGTGATTGAAAAAAAAAAAAAATTCCGAGAGAAAAACGGTTGCGTATTGATCAACTCTACCGAAAGAGACGTCGGCCCCCAACGCTACCCGAACTCCATGTCACCGACCCGCGCACTCCCATATTGCCCATGCTCAGCCCCGTGAAGCCCACCCCGCCGCCCTCGCCGTCTCGTTTATACCGCCGCTGCGCCTCGCGCAGGTGTGCAGGGAGGAGCTGACCGCGGTGGGGGTTCGGCGGCGGTCGGAATTCCGGCCTGTCCTGCTCTGGTTTCGATGCATGCGTGGCTTCATACTCGGCCCGTGCGGATTGATCGTGCGCGTCGGCCCATTCCGCTTGCACCGTGCGTGCCTTTTCGATCATCTCGCCGGCAAACACCTTGGTGAAGCCGTTGATGGTGGTCACCACGCTGGCGGGCACCGACTGCGACAGCGCGTGGTTGACGATTCGCCGTAGCGTCTCTTTCCGTAGTTTGGCTCGCTTGAATAGATCGTATCGCTCGGATTGGAGAGGGTTGAACGCGTCCACCAGTAGGCTATTTGGTCAGCACCTCAGTATTCCAACCCAACCAAGGGATGTCCAGAAAGGACCAACCCAGCAAAGAAAAGAGGGGGGAAAAGGAACATACGCCAGATTCTTCTTCTCCGCCTCGGTATCAGTCGCCCCCTCCTCCCTCCCCAACAACTCCCCCTCATCATCAAAATCCTCCTCGTCATCCACATCCTCCCCTCCTCCTCCCCCAGCACCACCACCACCACCACTACCCCCCTTAACAGACGACCCATCCGCATCAACCGAACCCACCCGAGTCTCCGTCCCACCTCCCCTCGCACTCAACGCGTCTTCCCTCTCGCGCTCCTTCTCCGCCTTGCTCTTCCGCCCGCGCTTCTTGGCTTTCCCCGCAGCGGCGAAGACGCCATCTGCGGACGTGCCGCCCAGACTGCCGGTGTGGCTGCCCGTGACGCTGCCGGCGTCGCTGGCGGCGCTGCCGAGGCCGCGGGCTTCGTCGGCGGTTGTGGGGAAGGAGGTTTGGCGGAGGGGGTGCATGCGGGCGCGTTTGGCGCTGATTTGCGATTGGGAGGTGGTGATGGAGGGGCGTTTGAGGGGGTTGGTGGGTGGTGGGGAGGACATATTGGTGGACTATCTGTGGTGTATGATTGTTTGGTGGTAGGTAGGTCGGTCTTTTTTGGTGATGGAGAGTAGTAGGCAGAGTACGCGATAGGGTATTAAGAGACTCCGGTTTGTATTGGGACCAGCCCAGTGAGAGAATAACGAGCGAAAGGAGAGATTCCAGGAATGGAAATGTCAGGAATAATGCCAGGAACAATGCCAAAAAGTGAGATGGCGATGGATGAACTGATAATCAAACCGAATGGGAAGTGAACAAGAGATGTCGGAGAACTGAAGGAATCGGATCGACGTAAGTGGGTCCACCGCCTACCGCTTTGGGCAACTCTACTATGGTCTTCACTATGGGTCTTTCTCACCAGCAATGCCGCCGTATTTACGATCCCACTACGGGGTACTCCTACACACAGCTATGATATACGAGTCACGTCAATTGCAGTTCATTCTGACGACTAAAGACAAACGATGCACAAATTAATCGCCGAAGGGGTATCTCCATCGGCTACGGGCAAAACAAGAACAGGACAGCGCGCAGAAAGGCCAGGGGATGAACCCAAGGAAAACCCAAGGGGAGACAACAGACAACCGAAAAGAAAAAAAATTCAAATCAAATCAGGCAGACACAGAATAGACAGTGAACGAAACTGAGCAGCAGATTGTCGATCATCAGAAACGGTCCTCGCCGAGCCGCGGGGCCCCCCCTTTCCAGTCCAGCCGCTCGTAGTAGCGGAAGACCAGATCGTATCCGTCCAGGTCGTGCACGATGCGATCGACCCGGCGGTAGCCCTCGACGTGCTCGGTGCGGGACGCGCGGCGCGCCGCCTGCCGCTCAATGTACTTGGCCTCCTTGATGCTGTCCCAGTCGCCGTCCGCGGCGGCGGCCACCTCGGGCTGCGCCTCGAACAGCGTCACGGTGAAGCGGCCCGGCTTGAAGATGTTGACCACCTGCTGGATGATGCCCGCCGTGGTCTGGCCGGTCTGGGAGTGCGGCACGTTGGTCTCGAACGACGCGTAGGAGCACTGCGGCTCCGGCGTCACGTGCACCGTGAAGTAGTGCGTCCCCGACGCCCCGTCCGGCGCCGGCACCACCCCGTTGGCGGAGAAGCCGCACGGGGTGAACAGGTAGGCGTCGATGCGCGACTCGGGGAACTTCTCGCGCGGGTAGACGTCCGACAGGCCGCACGTCTCCGACACCACCGTGCCCAACGCGTGGCCCTCGGTCGTCAGCTCTGCGGGCAGCACGCGGTTGTTCTCAGGACCGTCCAGGTCATCGCCCAGGTCCGTGGTGTTGCTGAACACGTCGAGGTGGTCGCCCGTGTCGCGGTCGAAGTCAAAGTTGCGGTACTGCTTCTCCGCGGCAGCCGTCGCGTGGTCCAGGTAGAACTGGCGCGCGTTGTTCTCCTCCAGGTCGGTCATGAGCACCTCAAGGGTCTCATCGGAAGCGTCGCCGCCCGTGGGCTTCGCGGGAGCCGCGGGCAGGTGAAGGATCCTGGTCGCCGTGCCCTCGTCCTCGGCGTCCGAGTCGGCGGGCGGGCTCGAGGGCGGGGTGAGCAGGGTGTGCGGCTCGGTCAGGTACAGGTACCAGTGCTCGCCGTTCATCTTGCCGATCATGTAGGCGCTGCCGTTGAGGAAGAGCTTGTCCATGTTGCGCACCTCGTCGCGCCAGCTGCGGTGGGGGCCACGCTGGCGGTCCGGGAACAGGAAGTTCTTGCGGCTGTAGAAGACGCGGTACGGGGCGGCGGCGATGGAGATGCCGCGCGAGGCGGGGGCCGTGGACTTGGGGAAGCCGCCAAACAGGGCCGCGATCTCCAGGATGCGCGGCAGGCCGGAGAGCAGGGTGGTGGTGCCGCAAGTCTTCAGGATGAGCTTGTGGGGCCAGACGAACATGCTGGACTCGGACAGCAGGTAGGCATCGACATCCTCGGACGAGACGATGGACAGCACCTGGCAGTTGACCAGGTCCAGCATGTCCTTCCAGATCTCCTCGGGGACGGCCTTCAGGCCCGTCCCGCTGACGGAGCGGGCGGAGGGTGCAAACCACACCTCCAGAAGCTTCTCGGGGCCTAATGCGATGAGAAACGTCAGTCCTGGGGCCGTTGACAGGCTCGAACATCAGGGAGTCACCGGCACGTACCTTCAAAGGCATTGGAGGAGTCAAGATCCTGGGTAGCCTCATGATTGATCGTCAGGGACGGGGTGCCCATGAACGAGGAGGGCGAGGTCGTGTAATTCTTCGGGATTCCAATGAACACCATCTCGACGCGGGGACCGATGAGGTCAGCAGGCAGGCGGGATGGAAGTGGATTGGCTGTATGGGAAAACCGGCGCGTGGGCAGGACAGGACCGATGAAAAGAAGACAAACAACGGCAAAGCCAAGCCTAGGAAGCACAATCTGCTACCCAGACGAACAGGGGGGGATGTCCGCCTGAGAAGAGAAGGCCCTTTATCAACTAGGGTCGAGTGGCACAACAGCCAAGAGGGGAAGTGATCCAGATGAGCCCGAAGGGCTGCTAGGGAGGGCGGAAGCAATGAGCGAGGTAAAAGCCTCTAGGAAAAGGAATTGTGGCTAATCTTCGGTACCCTCGTGCTGGAAGATACCGATACCGATCAAAGTATCGGGTCTAGCAGACGAGAGGTATCTGCTTGGGGTTGGGAGGGGGGGGAGGAAGGAAGGAATTGCGAACGGGCGGGAAGGCGCGAACCACAGGAGGGGTTCTCAATGGTGTTAACGAGGTCTGGCAGAGGAAGGCGACACTCTGTTAGTCACGGAGCAGAGAAGAGGGGCAGGAGGGCATACTTGGCGGGTTTGGACAGGTATCGCAGTAGATCCTCTGGGTTCATTGAAGGCACAAATCAGATGGAGCTCAGAGCAGCGCGAGAGAGCTGACAGAGGCGACGACTCTTGACATCTGCGAGAGCGAAGCAAGCGAGACGAGAAGAACGAACCAGGCGGGAGAGAGAAGATCTCTTTTTTTTATTATTATTTTTTTCTTCTGCGTTTTTTTCCTTTATTTTTTCACCGAGGTGAGACCACTCATCCAATGAAGCAGTAGCGGGGTCAACACCAGAAGGCGCCCAGCGAAATTGATCGAGGAACGCGTATAGAGCGATAACTGATGATGAGGGGGGGTTTTGAAAACAAGAAGGAAGTGTATAAGAGTCAGAGAGAAGAGGGAAGTTGTTCGCACGAGCAAAAGTGAAAGCCAAACAAGATTTTCGTCTTGATTCAACCCACTTTTAGCGGCAGACCGTGAAATTGAGGTATTTTACACTCTTTTTTTTTTTTCTAATACAATTGGGCTGTGTGGGCCGGAAAAAGGCCGTGGGGCACCAATCGGGGCGCTCGGTTGGGGCTGCAGATAGTAGTCGAGGGGGGTAGAGAGTAGGGAGAATGATCAGTCAATTGGGCTGTATAACACGATTGATGAGTAGGATGAGAGGATGAGATGGAATGGAAGAAGAGAGATGTCTGAAGTAAGAAAAGAAGAGATGAAGAGGATGAGAGAAGAAGAGATGATGATGAAGAGGAATGAAGAGGAATGAAGGTGAGGTCCGTGAGGCGACAGCGGAGATGCCCGATCTGGCAGGCGGTGAGACACCACAGCAGATGACTCATCGCGGTGACGTCGCCTTGTCAGGCACCGATGCGGAGATAGCCGGAGATCTCTACGGAGTACACTTGAGTTGGATGATAATAACCATAGTTGAATAAGATCATATAAGTCCCAATCCAAAACGCCAATGCACCCATTCCATCGCCTACAATTGACCAGATGGAGACAGAAACGAGATCGAAGAAAAGAAAGGGGGAAAGAAAGCAAGAGATCATGCATCCACAATTGCATGCGCCAGCTGTACATCCCCCCCCTCAGAGATCTGACCGGCCAGAAACTCTCCCACCCGATTCGTCAGCTGCGTCTGCAGATCGTCCGTCACTGTGCCATGGTGTCCGTTGGCCAAGGCCGGACCGCCCTCGCGCAACGTGCCCAGGACCCCGACCAGCAGTTCGAGCACCTTCTCTGCTTCGGGGCGTCGCGCCCCTTCGTCCGCCAGACCCTCCTGCAGAAGGCTACCGTAGGTGGGTAAGTTGGGCAGGATCAACACCCGCACGGCCTCCACGCCGCCCACGGCGTGCAGCCCGATGATGGCCCCGTAGTGGGCGCCGAACGGCTTGGACGGGTCCAGGAAGGTCTTGAGACAGGTGCGGGCCAGCCGGGGTTTGAGCGTGTGCGATGCGTGCGAGTACTTGCGAGCGATGAGGCCCAGTATCGACCCGGCCAGATCCCGCAGGGCCAGCTGCTCCGACAGGTCGGCGTTGCCGCCGAGTTGGCGGCCGATCAGGCAGGTTAGGATGGAGGGGACGAGGGAGGCGACCTATTATTATTATAAGCATATACACGTAGACGGAGTGAAGGAAATGGAGGGAGAGATAGAGAGAGAGAGAGGAACTCACATAAGGATCCACATAAAGCGACTGATTCTGCACCAACGCCTCCGCCATCCGCATCACCTGCGTCAGAACAAAAATATCCTTCATGCCATGCGTGACTTTCTCCGAGATGAACTGCACAAAGTACGGCACGAGCTGATGCAAGCCGGGGTCCTCGCGCAGACTCGAGTATCCCGACGTGCGGTACTCCTCGCTACACTCGTCCAAAAACGCCCCGCACACCTTCTCAAAGTACAGCTGCAGCTCCTTGGACAGCACGTGCTTGACGAGCGGTTTGACGGCCACGTTGCCGTTGCCGCTCATGGCGGCGAGGGTCGAGTTCGCGTTCGGTCCCTTGGACATGAGTTCGAGGTTGCGCGAGTCGGCGGCTGTAGGGTTCTGTGGGATGGATGGTTGGACGCCTTCGACGGCGAGCCAGTGAGCTAGAATATACCATTAGCACCACCTTATCCATAGAGAAATGTAAATATGTATATAGGGGAAAGAAAGAATACCAGTAAAAGCAATCTCCCTCGGCACCTTCGGCAACGGCGCATTAATCAACTTCTCAAAGTCGACCTCCTCATCCTCGACATAAAACAGCGGCTGGCCCGGTCCCAGCGACGCCTCGCCAAAGCGCAACGGCCTAGTCGTCTCATACCCATACAACGGCTCAACATCCAGCACGCGCAGCGCGTGCGCGATATCCTGCGTCGTCAGCAGCGTGCGGCGGCCGTGGCGCATGAACTTGAGGGCTTCCTCGAGCACCTGCGCGATGCGGTACTCGACGTCGCGGGCGAGGTTCTCCGTGACGTCGTTGTTGAGGTTGACGATGCCGACGGATTCGGCGACGTCGCGGATGTTGTCGGGGTTCCAGACCGACATGGTGGGTGGATCTTCAAGGGTGTGTAGAGAGGGAGACGAGAGTGGCTGGTAGATAGGATCCTACTGGTGGCAGCTGCTAGGAGTAGGATGGGTCGGTGATAAGCGTGGATCGCAGGTGGGAGATGGAGGTCGTAGTAAAAGGACCGTTAGGGCAAAACACAGCAGTGACGCATTCTGGAACCCTCTATAGATGGTGATGGAGCACCTTGCACCCAATTCAACAGACGATTGATTCCGAGACGATGAGGTGAAAGTGGAGGAAGCGCGCAGCAAAAGACCGCGAGGGACCCGCTGACCGCCTTCTCGATCGATCTGCCTATCGATACGCCTCCTGCCTCAGGCAGCATTTACATACTCCAGACCTACGTCAGGATAGAGTACATGTAGAATGTAAAAGAATGGATTCAATTAAAGATTATACCCAACCGTAATAATGCAAGCGCACCACATGACAGTGCATGAAGTATCCGAGGGATCAAAAGAACAAAGAATCAAAATCAATTAGTGATAGTCCGATCCTCCTGGGTACAACCCAATCGATACTCGTATGGCATGGCCATGGAAAGAAGCATCACCCCGGGCGTTCAGTCCCTTCCTCTGCCGTCTTAGTTCTCCCACCAGAAGAATCTGTTGAAATTGACCTTTCGTCGTGAATCTGCCGAAATTAATGTTACAGAGGGCGGCCTCAGATGCACCGTGCGGGCGTTGCTCTTCAGTGTCCCGCCCTTCCCGCCATAACATGGAGGCAACTGGCGTTGAATAGAATCCGGATATTGGAGGGACAGACTCGCGCCGTCGGTAATGGGGTAGAACGTATGGGTGGTGTTCTGGATCCCCAAGATCTTGCTGAACTTGAACCTGCAGCCTTTGATAGCCGGGACGTTGACGAAGTATCTCTCGCGCAGCAGCTCTGGGTAGGCCGCGGTGACGGTGTCGATGCCGTTGTCGATGGTCCCCTTGGCGCAGACCTTGAACTTGGAGTACCCCGACCGGGTGTATCTGACATTGTTGAAGTCCTGCACCTGCAGCATCTGGTATGGGTCGTAGCCGTGATAGTTTATTACGATCTCGGACTCGTCAATCTTCAATTCATGGGTGGCTTTTTCCATGAGCGCTATATACCAATCAAGGAAACTAGCTGCGTTAGCACCCCGTCGATCATGGTCCAAAGGTTTGCGCCAACTCACTGGCGCTGATTGCCATAGGTGATATTGAAATCCCTCGCCGCCCCGTGGATAATCCACGTCGTAACCACTTCCTCCCCGGCATTGTCTGTGTAATGTGTCAGGTACCCCAAGTCCCTGAACCTCTGGTGATTGTGCAGCATGTTGGCCAGCCGAATCGGATTCATGTTCCGGCGCCACTGGAGCACACTGATCAGACGTTCCTCCGCCTTGTGCAGGTCACCGTCACTGTCGCGCAGGAACTTGACCAGGACATTCACGGTAGGAACATCGTGTTCATTTAAGAGGTTCACCCCCCAAATCTCTCCGTGGTTCGCGACATTGAGGATGTTGGGCAGCCTGTCGAACAACGGACCCAGTTGAGGATGTTTGTTCAGATAGTCCGGTCTGTCGGGGGGGTTGTCCGGATTACCACCGTCCTTATCGTTCTTGTTGTTGTTCTTGTTGTTGTTGTCGCCGCCACCATTGTCGCCGCCAACTTTTTCCTCGCTAATGGTATCATCTTTGGCACCAGTCGCTTTCTGTGACCTCTCCCCAGTGGGTGGATTCTGCGCCGCAGCCCTCTCAGCACCTTCCACCGAACCACCTTCATTCCCGCGCCGATCGGACATGGTACGAACGTAGTAGATGTGTGGGGGGTTAATAGAATGTAGATAGATAAATAAATGTGTATCAAAGACGTATCAAGGAATGTTTTCAGAGAAAAGAAAAGACAATGTATACTGATAGAGACCGATACTGAGAATGTGAAATGAATTTGCTTTGATATTCATAGTGGACGAGGGGGAAAAGACGTAGACGTAGAAGTGGAAGTCGCAGAAGTAGAAAGAACGAAAGGGGAAGGAGGAGACCTGAAAGGTGTACTTGATTGAATAGGACTCTAGTCCAGCAAACTCAGGCCTGACTGACGAACTGATTGAATGAATGATTACTTACGTCTTGTTGTCTCATTACTCAGTCCTAGTCATTTTCTGGGCAAGGTATAAACATATTGTCAGTTAGTATATATTACACCTAGACTGGCGATGACTCTCGTAACTGCTGTATAGCCAGAGGCGTTGCACATCTTATCAGGAGATATCGTATCAATATCAGAGACTCATAATATCTCCGCGTCATCTATCGTAATATTTCAGAAGACTAAAAGAAAGAAAGATAAACCGCTGGGGAATATACATCAGATGAACGAAACACGATTGCTCAACGAACCAGAACCAGAACCACAGTACCAAAACCACTCCATTCCACTCCTGCCTACTTCGATCCATTCACAAACCGTTGAGGGATCTGAGGGACCGGCGGTGGGATGGGTTCTGCCTCGCCCTCGTCCTCGTCCTCGTCCATCTCGTCTAGTTCTTCGGGGTGACTGGATATCGAGTTAGTTCCATGTCCGCATATATATTTGTATATAAAATAGGGCACTCACGCTAATAATTCTTTAATGTTCCGCATCTCATAATGTCGCTTCCGGTGCTGCTCAAACTCGCGGTGTTTCTCGCGGGCCTCTTCCGGCGAGAGGAGATGGTCGGGGTCGTCCGACCCCGCCTCGCCGTTAGTCTGCTCGGAACCAACCACCACGTGCTTGTCATTGCGGTGCGACTCATTGCTGAGACTCCGTTCCCGGATGATGCGATCATGCGACGCGGCAGGCTCGTCGGCCATGGACGAATCCTCGGGCTCGCCCAGCTCCAGGTCCGGGATGTCTTCCTCGGGGACGGCTTTGCGGGTCGACTTGGGGGGCTGGTCCAGCTCGTCGACTACCACCCCCTGGGCGTCGATCAGGTCCGCGTCGGCTATCTCCTCCTCGTCCTCGTCCTGGCTGGGGTCGTAGTGCGGGGCGTACGGCGTCTTGGGCTCGTCGATCTTCATCTTGGCGGTCTTTTCCTGCTCCGCGAGGTAGAGGTTCGCTTCGTCCCATTTCAACCGGGGGGAATTCTCATCGTGGTGTCCGTAGGTGCTAGCGAGGGATTGGCGGCGCGACGAGCTCCCGGGGCGGGCTGCGGACGAGGACCGTCGCCGACCGGCGTTCTGCAGGGTGTTTTGGATGGTGATTTCCTTGGTGTCGACGCCGTCTACGGACGGGAGGGGAGACGGTTCCTCCGGGATCTGGGGGACTTGAAGGATATTCTGGGAGCTAGAGTTTTTGAGGATTCCTGTTTCTTGATTAGAACGAAACATTTATATGAAAGAAAGGTACCTACCCTTAGGCCGCGAATGGGCATCCTCCACACGTTGCTGTGCCATGATCATTGCAGGGAAATGACAAAATTATTCAGGCGTCCAGAGGAAAGATAACTCAAGGCTGATTAAATCCTTTTATCTTCAAGAGAGAGAAAATCCCGCACGAGACAAGACCAAGTCAGCTGGATTATCCTTCCTTGTTTCCGCCTTTGTGTCCAGCGATATTTTTTATTTAATTATTTAAGGAAATTCCCCCAAAAAGACAGTAAGCATCTGAGACCAGTAGATGACCTCGACCGCGCAGCTGGGATCACGTTTGTATGTAGGGTGAATGGGAGGATATATGTGGTGGGGTTTCAGCTTGGAGGGGCTGAGCTGAGCTGGTGAGCTGAGTGGTTGGAGTGGATGGAATGGGTGACGAAATCGTTGGGTTGCTTGGATGTTGTATGTTGTATGTTGTATGTCTGGGTCTTGGTAATTTGCAGACCAGATGGTGGAATGTGACAGGAGAAAAGAGGATTGAGTCAATCTTGAGGAGAGAAAGTATCAAGATAGAAGAGAGAGCAAGAAGAAAAGAAAGAGATGATTGAATGACTTGAATGAATGACTGAATGAGGGAGACTGGCTGAGACTATTTGGGCCTAGCGGGGCGGCGTTGCGCTGCCGGGGCACGTGGTATGACGTCATGGCATTGTGGCCCAGGACAATACCCTTACTTGATCATATGGATCAATCCAAGTGGGGACTGTGTCTGACTGGGTTTGTAGACTAATCTACAGATGAAGGAAACCAGAATGATAGGAGCTGTATATCGGTAAGGACGGTGTATGTTTGCATAGCATACTATGTAGGAGGGTATCTCGAGAAGAGTATACCAAGTAAAACCAGATCAGCCTGCTTCTAACCCACCAGAAAAGGAAAAACAAATGAATGAAAGAGCCAATGGATAGATCATAAACCATACTGCTCCTGGTTTAACCGCAGCACAACATATCGCCACATCCAGACACAGAGATAAGACACGCACACACACAGATACACCCACAGAGAGAGAGGGAGAGAGAGAGAGAGAAACGATCTCACACACAAAGAGGGAGAGAGGGCTAGACAATGCTAGAAACAAAATTAAATAAAATAAGCAAAAATATATAAACCTCAAAGTGGTATCATGTCATGAAGCAACGCAGCAAGACGGGAAGAAAAAGCATTTCAAACGCCTGGGATATCATCACTGAGTAGAATGAATAGAATCAAGATAAGAAGAGTAGAATGGAATAAAAGAGAAGCAGAAAAAAAAGGAAGGTAAGAAGAGAAGAGAAGAGAAGAAAAATCAAGCAATCGAATCAAACTCCTCCCGTTCCCGAAGTCTATTCCTCGCGAGGTCATCCCCTCCCTGCGCCGACAGCTGCATCCAGTGCAGCGCCAGACACATACTCTGTGGGTCGGACTTGGGATCGTTGTCGCGGTGGTACATCATCTCCGCCTTGTAGGTGTCGCGGAGAAGTGTAAGCGGTAGCGTCACCCGCGGTAGGAGTTCCGGGTGCGTGAGGTAGAGAATGGCCAGCTCGCGCTGGGCGACGGCGTGGCCTTCTTTGGCGGTGATGATCCACATCCCCGCCGCGTCTTCGATGGCGTGGCCTGGCCGGGGGGTCCCGTCGGGTCCCGAAGGCGGGTGTCGCCGACTGAGTTCCTGGGACACGATGTGGTCGGCGATCTCGACCATGCTGTTGCAGACTTCGTCCTTGAGGCTGAGTGCTGCCAGCCCAAACTGCAGGAAGGCCGTCCCGCTGTCCGTTTGGTTCAGGGTTTCACCCGGCACGAAAGCCGCGATAAACTGCAGGTCTCGGAACAGCGTCTTGGGCTTCACCTCTAGCAGCAGCTCGCGGAGGGCGTCCACGATCTCTTTCTCCGTGGGCGTGGCGTAGTCCGACGGCCGCGACTCAAACAAGACCGACTCGGCGGCCGGGCTCGTCGGCGTGCGGACGCCGTCCCGCTCGGGGCCTCGCGGCGTCCGCGACTCTGAGAAACTGTGCCGGGAGCCTCGTGTCCGGCGCACGTCCGGGCCCGGGCCCGGACCCGGGGACGGGGGACAGCGGTCGTCGGGACCCGCGTTCAGCGACGCCACGACCAGGGTCCGCAGCTCCCGCAGCGCCTTGAGTTTCACAAACGGGTTGCCGTGCCGCGAGAAGACGTCGATCAACCGGCGGAAGACGACCCCGTACGCGAACGGGGGCTGATCGTCGGGCATGGAGTCCCCGCTCGCACTCGCGGGCGTCGAGTCCCGGTCTGCGGAATTTGGAGGAGGTGCGGGCTGGTCAGATGGCTCCAGCGAGCGGCTCCGGCGGCGCCCGTGGGTCGACGACGTCCGGTGGATGGTGTGACGGACCGGGCGGTCGTCGAGCTCGGCGTAGAACCGTTGGATCCGGGAGCGCTTGCCCATTTGAGTCCGGATGCGCTCCTGGTTAAGGACGTTCCCGAACCACGCGTCGGTCTCACTGCCGCAGCTCCACACCGGCGAGCCGAGGTCGCTCAGAAGCAAGCTCGTCAGCGTCTGCCGCAACTCGTCCAGGAAGACCGTCTTCCCATGCGGGGTGGTCCGCTCACTGCGGCGCGGTTGGTGGGTCCCCGTCTCACTGATCATGGACGGGGGACGGGAATAGACGCTGGACGCGCTGGCGGCATAGTACGGTGGCCGGTGCGGCGCCGACCAGAACGTGCTACACGAATCGCCCGTGGCCGTCGACGCGGCCTTGCCCGGCGAGCCCGCGATGGACGAGGCGTCTGTGCTGGACGGATCTCGGGGGGTCCGCCACCGCTCCGGCATCAGGTTTTGGAGCGACGCATCGCGGGTCAGCGCGGGGAAGAAGTCGTGCGCGGCCGATCGGGACACGGGGTCGGACGGGCGCCCGGACGTAGAAGGCACGGGCCCGTACGCCGTGGGGGTCGCGGGGGCATCCTCGCCGGCTCGGCCGAACGATCGGAGGCCCGCGGAGAGGCCCATGAATCCCCGCGGGGTCGAGCCCTCGAACTGGGTGCGCTCGCGGTGGAACAGCTCGCTGGCCCAGAGCACAGGCGTCTCGGCCATGGTCTCGCCCACGAGGCGGTTGATGCTAGCCTTGACCTCGTAGCAGAAGCGGTGTATGCGCTCCTCGCCCCGGCAGAAGTTGTCGATGCTGTTGTGGGCCAGCCACTTCCGAATCAGATCGACCTGCTCGTCGGACAGCTTGTTGGGCCCGGCCTGGTTGCTCGGCGCCTTCATCACCTGCATCACCTGCAGCTCGGGTTTCTGCAGGAGGGACCGGGTCGTACCTCCTCGTGACCGGGTCTCCGCCGGCCGGGACAGACGCGCCGAGTGGACCATGGTCTTGAGGGCTAGCGCTACGTGTTTGGCGTCCTCGTACCGCATGGAGTTCTTCACGTCGGTCATGTACCACATCTTGTCGCGGAGGCGCGCGACGGTGGCAACCATGTCCTTGACGGTCTTCTGCAGGCGCTGCCGATGACGGTCGAGCGCCACGAGGTCACTTTCGCTACGCTCGATGACCGATCGGGACTCGCGCAGCGAGGCCACATTCGACCGGTGCATTGGGCGGAGGATCCACGAGTCGTCGGCCTGTCGGGCGGGGGCGGTCGCCACGCTGCGGAGCAGCTGCCGGCCGGCGTTCCACCAGTAGTGGGCGCCGATGAAGTCGGACTCGTGGTGGCAGGATGCCATAGCTCGTTGGAATCGCTGGCGGAGGGAGAGACCCTCGGCGCAGGCGCCGGGCGCGGGGAGGCCAGCCTCCACGCGGTCCCCGGCGGGGTTCTCCTGGATCAGTTTCACAATGGCTGTCTGGAGCGCTTCCAAGTTATCCTCCATCCCCAGGGTGGTGGACGGGGCGTCTCTGACGGAGTGATTCTCCGGGTCGCTCGCGTCGTCGTCCGGGAAGAGCCCCCACACGGGACGGTCGTCCCGGGGGTCGATCGAAAAGACGGCCCAGTCTTCGGTGGCGGGCGGCTCCAGCGTCGTCCGCCCTTCGGGCTCGACCAGGCCCGAGAGTTCAAAGCGGATCCGGTCCGCCTTCCGACGGAGGCGATCCTCCTGGGGCGATAAAAAGGTCATCTCCGCGGGGAAGAGGGACCGGGCCGGGGATGACAGTGCCGGCGGGGAGAAAAACCCGGGCTCCGCGATGGGGGTGGCATACCGGGGCGAGAGGGTCTGGAAGGGATTGTGGAGGGACGACGGCACAACACCCGACGGCGGGCTGTACATGGACGAGTCGACCCTAGGGAAGAGTGCGTTCAGCGTGGTTAGAACATCAGTGGCCGATAGCATCAGGAACCCGGCCGGGGATGCTGAAGCCGTCCCAGGTGCTGGTCGCGGTGCCGGGTGAGTGGCGGCCTGTCGGACCTGATTCACCATGTTGGTGACATGCCGTCGAACGGTGGGACGAGCCATGGCGTAGTGATCCCTGGACAGGACGGTTAGCGGCCATCGTTAGGACATCTGGAAAAACGGAAGACTCACATGGACCGCAGCACGGCAAACACGCGGGAATACGCCTGCAAGCCAACCTGGCCGAGGAGCTTCTCGCGCGCATCCTTCCGGATGTGAAAGTCCAACAGGAGACCGTGGGCCTACGTATCATGCTGTTAGTTGGACGGGCTTATCAAAAGGTGAGCCGCTCCAGGTGAGGGCGGGGGCGCATACCTCGGGATATGTCAGTGCGCCGTAGAGGAACGAGGCAAAAAACCACTGGACAAACAGAAATTCGAGGAAGCGGTCGCGGGCATCCGGGCGGTCCAATCGCTGCAGGATAGCAGCACTCAACTCCATGACGGCGTGGGGGAACCCGGCATCTGGGTCATCCAACAGCTGGAATAGGGAATCCACGGCAGTGGCAAAGAATTCCTCGGCGACATCCGTGCGGAGGGGATCAATAGGCTCAGCATCAAAAGGCAGATTGGGGGGCGGGTCTACGTGCTCCAGGAGGAATGCGCCGGTCTGGAGAATGTCCATCAGGTAGAGTTCAAATTTGGGCCGAGCTTTCCAGTGGCTCCCCATGGCCCAGGCGGCGAGAATGTGTCCGATCAGGGGAAAGTAGCGGGCGCCGCCCTCGGTGAAGAGGTGGGCACATACGGATGCCCAGAGGTCCAAGCGGCGCTGGGCCTCGGGGCCGTTGGAATCCAGGGGCGCGGAAAACACGTTGAACAGCAAGATGGACAGGGCGTCCGAGCGCTCGAATCCGAGGACGTGATCCTTGAAGGGGAGGGACGGGGCCACTGAGCGCTTGGTGAACGAGGAGGCAGATGTCCGGGATCTGACGCCCGCGGGGACGGACGAAGCGGCATCCCCGGCCTCCACGGCGGGGGCGGAGGCGGCCACGAGGGCGGCCAGCTGCGCGGGGGACAAGTTGCGCAAACGGTCGACCACGAATCGGGGACTGGTACGCGCCAAATCCAGGATCTCCAGCACATCCGTCCGGGACTGAGGGCTCAGCTGCAAGAAGAAGTCTGGGGCGTGGTCCACGGCGGCATCGCGGGCGGACGCGCCGACTTCCTCCCAGGGATCCGTAGGGTGGCTGGGGGCGCGGATGACGGACTCACAGGATTCCTGTAGCTCGGACAGACCGTGATAGAGGGCGATGAAGTTGACCTTGTCCTCGTGCTTCAAGCGGTCGACAAGGCCACGCTGGACGGTGATGCCGACGCGAACGAGGCGGGCGGAAAGGCCCATGGAGACCTTGACAACATGGAGACGGGATTCCAACCTTTTCCGGCGGGATAGTTTGTGTTGGGTTTGGCGATGAGAGCGGGCTAGATCTTCAAAAGAGACGGTCTCCACGCGGTCCACGCGGGCAGACCGACAAGCATCGGGGGTTGGGGATGCGATTTGGGTAGTGGGGGTGGTTGGGTCTGTTTGATATTAGAAGACGTGATAATGGACCTTGCTTATGATCGCGACAAAGAATGAAAAAAAGAAAGAAAGAAGCAGAATGACAGGAGAATATAGATGATCTCGACAACAAAACAAGAGACGAAGTACTGACTAGTCACAGAAGAAGCCCCCTCCGAAGAAGAGCGACGAGCATCGTCGCAAGGCGCCTGGACAAACATGGCGGCGGTGCCATGGGCCGGAGAGAATGCCGGGGAGGACGACGAAGGAGGCGAGAAGGCCCAGGCTTGACGGGGAACTTCTCTATGGCATGATCTAGGTGTTACTGAGGGAGATGAACCAGCTGAAGGAATGTCGTCCAGGGTTGGGTGGAGGGGGAGGGTGGAAGAGGAGGACTCCAGGGTGGATGAGATGATTTTGATAGATGGTATGTATGGTGGGGGAGGGAAGAGAGGAGGAGGGGTGATGGATATAAATCAGGAGGGGAGATATAGTAATATGCAGGAGAGGATGGAATATAAGATAGGAAGAAGAAAGACGAATAATCAAGACGAATCAGAAGAGCGAAGGAAGACCAGGAGAAAAGCCGAATGATTTACGAGAAGACGATGGAGAGATGATTAGTGGAGAGAGGGAGAGCCAGCTGGCTGCTTGGCGATGACACGCAGGAGAACCGAAGAGCGTAAGAAAGGAAGTCAAGAGAGAAGAGAGAGAGAAGAGAGGGGAGAAGAAAGAACGAAAGGACTAACGATTGACTAGGGAAAGGGAGTGATGAGCTGGCAGTGCATGAGTTAGTCTGCCTGCTGATTTGTCCGTCCCCCTCCTTGGATGAGTCAATCGTATTATTTATATTTTGGTATTTATTGGTTTTATAATTATATATTTTATTTGTATAATTATCTTTATATGGTTTATATGGTTTATTTTTGAGGATAGTTTTCCGTTTGTTGATATTTATCTGGATCGAGATGGATATATCGAGTACTCCGTACGGAGTAGATATAAGTCAAGATATTATATGGATGACCCACCGCGAACTCAATCCTCAAGGACCAGCGCATAACATATCAATCAATAAAAAAAACAAATAAGAACAAAATAAGAACAAATAAATGGCTAGTTGGAAATAATAATATAAGGTCAATTCATGTCTATTGGCACACCCATTTCTTATCCACCTCCTTCTGTCCCACCCGCGTCGCCACGCTGTTCAGCGTCTCCTTTAGCACCTCCTTCGACACTTTGGGGAACCTATCCTCTGTTAGTTTCGAAGTCAAAATCGATGAAAGAAAGAAAAAAGGAAACGCACCGTTTCTTCAAGATCTCGATCAACCCCAGCTTCGACAAATCGCTGCCGTCCACTGCCCGCTTGAACTCCTCCAGTTGGTCCGCCGGAAATGCTCGCTTGGTCCGCCCGGGTCCCGCCCCCTCTGCGCCCCCGGCACTCCCCGCCGTCCCCGCCGATGGTGCGCCCCCTAGGAACGCATGCAGCGACGACCGCCCGGGACCTGCTGGCCCCGCCCCCACAGGCGCCGGTGCTGGCGTCCAGTATGCTGTCGAGAAAGGGTCGATCGGAAATGTAACCGCATCGGAGATCGTCTCTATCCGGTACCGCTGGAGCTCGGGGTCCACTGACGTCCCCCCCGGATGATCTGACTGCCACTGAAGCCCCGAACAGGCAGGTTCCAGATCCCCCACGATGAGCCGCCGCTTCCCCGGTCCTGGTGCCTGCTGGTCATCCCCCTCGTCGTCCAAAAACCCATCTAGGTCGTCCTCGCCGTCCTCGCTGACGTCTTCCTCCTCCTCCGAGTCCAGCTCCTCACCCTCCTCGGGCTCCTCCCATTCCGCTTCCGACTCGTAGTCGTAGTTCGTCTCCGGCAGCCCCCGGTGGAACGGGTTCCGCATCAGCCGGTGCGCCTCGGCCACGGGCATGCGTCGCGTGTACGTGCCCTGGTACGGCGGCCGCACATCCTCGCCGAACTTGAGCGACTTCATCCGCACCTGCTTCAGGAGGTTGCGCGGTCGTTGCACGGCCTCCGACGTCTCCGGCTGGTCGCCCAGATTCTGCATCTGGAGGAGGATCTCTTTAACGGACGCGGGGATCCGCCCCCGTCGTCGCTGGTAGGGTATCATCTGGAATAGCTCCGACGGTCGAAACCTCGCGCGCGGTGCAGGGTTGGCTGCCGCTTTCATCTGCGCGTCGACCTTGTCCCGCATGTGCTGCAGGGCTTGGGTGTCCCGTTCGAACCGGTTCACCGGGGCCACCGTCGTATGGGACTGGAGGAAGAAATCGGGAAACAGCCGTTGATAGTCCGACAAGGTCGGGCGGGACTCAGCCCCCGCGTCGGCCGGGGGAGCATCACGCGTGGCTTTGCTCGGCGAGTGGGAAGCCGTCGAGGGTCCGGGCTGGGAAACCGGCTTCGGTTTGGCGAAAAAGGCGTTCAGTTTGGGTTGTGCCTGTCCTTGATTAGCAAAAGGAAAAAGAAGAAAAAAGAAAATAGAAATCTCACCCTCTCCTTCTTCAATTTCTCCTCCTCCTTCTTCCGCTTTTCCTCCTCCTTCGCAGCCTCTTTCTTCCTCTTCTCTTCCTCCTTAGCAGCCTCCTTCTTCCGCTTCTCCTCTTCGCGAGCAACCTTCTCCTCCTCCTTCACCCGCCGCCTCTCATCCTTCTTCTTTCGCTCCTCTTCCCGCTCCGCATCCCGCTTCTTCTTCTCTTCTTCCTTGGCCTTCCGCTCTTCCTCCTTCTTCGCTTTTTCCTCCTCTCGCTTAGCCTTCTCCTCCTCTCGCTTAGCCTTCTCCTCCAACCGCTGCCGCTCCTTGGCCTCTTTCTCCTGTTGTTTACTGGCAGGCGACAGCTTTCGCTTCTTGGCGGCCGGGGTCGTCGCCGATCCTTCGGAAGGAGGGTTCATGTTCGAGCTTGAGTCGGGTACTGTGTTCATGGTGGACTCTGAGAGGGAGGTCGGGCCTGCGCCGGAGTCGACAACGTCTGGTTGTGCGGGTGCGGGTGATTCAGTGGTGGATTGTTTGGATGGGGAGGGGGAGAATGAGGAGGAAGTGGTCGTCGTGTTCTCTTTGTCGTCCAGGGCTGTCGTTTTGGGGTCTTCGGCGTGGTTCTTCGCCGGTCGGGATGGGATGTCGTGTGTGTCTTCGATTGGGCGCTTGCGGCCTCCTGTGCTTGGGGAGGTCGGATACGGGTGTGTTTGTGGAGGGAGGTTGGTGTTTGTTGAGTCCATGGAGACTTCCATGGTGTTCACTAAGGTTGTTCAGTGTGTGGGTGATCGGTGGTGAAGGTGCGATGCTCGGAGATGGGGTCAGTGCTGGCGATGGTGAGATGATGGGTTAGACGTGGGCAATGCGTGTAATGATGGAGGCTATGGCAGAGGCGAAGATGATCTCGAGCATCGACTGAAGGTTAGGATAGAAGTAGGAGGAAGTGGGTGTCGGTTGTCAAAAAAAGGACGGGTTATGAAGGGGACCGACCAAGTGCACTTGGGTGAGGGATGGCAGTCACAAATGATGCAAAAGGGACAAAGGAATCCACCGCTCTCAATTCCCAAAGAACAAAATAATAGAGACGGCCACAGGTTCGAGTCCAGCTCAACGGCGATGAAGGTGCAGCGGTGGAGGGAATGGGTGATTTCCCCATCGACGTCTGTCTGGTCTGTGGGCCGATCAGGTTCAGGACAAGGAACGGGGGGGTCACGCGTTAATTGGGCTGCCCGCGCGCTCCGTCGCGTCGCCCCGGCACGTGCTGATTACTCATCTGCCAGCATTCTATCCATCGTCATTGCGATAAGATATAATATTAGAGGATATAGTAAATGACGATACAATAGACATATAGATGGATAAATAATGTGTAGACTACATGATGATCGGTGTATGGAAGATACATATGTACAGATCGTATTATTATTACTAGCGACTCTGAGAGTTCCCTCCTGACCCTCAGAAGGAGGAGCTGAAAGGCGCACTGAGAACAAGACACTCCGGGGAATCAGGGACGAAACGATGCAATGCGGCCCGGCCGGACAGTCCGGGAAAGATATCAGCGACGGGTAAAAGGGAACAGGACGGAAAAGACACAAGACGCACGCCAGGAGAGCGGACTGTGTGCCCGCTCGGTCAGTTCGTGTCTCGTGACCCGTGCCTGGTGCGGACAAAGAGCAAAACGGAAGATTGGCAAGAGGACGGAGTGCGGTACACGGAGATTGAAGGGGCAAAGAATAAAAAGAGTGAAGAACAGACGGAAGGCAGAAAATTAATCGCTCAAGTCCGGATTGGCGACGAAGAGGCGCACGTTCGTCATCGACGTAGTACGGTCATCGACGCTGCCCCGTCGCCGCAGTTCGTCGGCCTTGTTGGCCTTATTGACAACTGTGTGGGCCGCACTCGGGGCGGTCATGTCGCCCACGCTACCGAAACTGTTCTCGCGATCGCTGCCGCGGCTGTGCAGGGTGCCGGCGTCGTCCCGCAGGGAGCCCGTCTCCGCCTTGTCGTCGACACGGCTCTCGGCGGGCGGGTGCTCCGTCACCTCGGGCAGGTCAGTCTTCTCGTTCGGGGGCGTGCCGTTGCTCCCCATGGTGCCCTGCGGGGTGGCCCGCTGGTAGCCGCTGGGGTAGCGGTGGGCGCTCCCGATCGAGCTGCGACCGCTGCCCGTGCGACGATAGGGGAAGCCCGAGTCGCTGCGAGCGTCATCTTCGGCGTCGCCGATCTCGTTGGCGCTGAGGCGGACCGGCACCTTGGCGCCCACGAGCGTCGAGGCGGAGAAGTCGGCAGCGCCCTTGGCGCCGTGCTTGTTCTTGCCCCCGGCGAGCGGTCCTTTGCGTCCGGCGCCTGCGCCGTGGACTTCCAGATAGGCTCGCTTCTTGTCCGCCACCTTCTGGGCACGGAGGCGGGGATCCTCAGGCTGGGAGCGGTCGCACCAGACCGTGGCCTTCTGTCGGCGCATCAAGGCCACGTAGCCGAGCTGGCCCTGGGTGGACCGTGACGAGGCACTCCGATGGATGTCGGAGAAGGGGCCGGCGGGGTTGCCGGTGGAGTTGCTGGAGGTGGTGGCGCTCGATAAGCGCCGCGAGGGCGGGTAGTGGAGGGGGGAGGTCATGGTGGGAAGCGGCGAGGGACCACTACCCATGTATTGCTGCTGCTGTTGCTGTTGTGCCATGTAGGGCAGCACATGAGATGAGGAGGTCCGATTGCGACTGTGGGCGAGGGAGGCGGGCGTGGGAAGGGGGGACAGCTGTTGTGGTGGTTGTTGTTGCTGTTGTTGAGGGTCATAGGCGGGCCCGGGATACCCGGACGATGAGCCCGGCACGGGTTTCCGAGCCGGGGCCGCATTGTGACGGAAAGGCAAACGGTAATCAGTCATGGTGGGTTGTTAAAGCTGCACACCAGCCATATATGATCCGGAGCGGGGAGGGATGAGAAAGAGACGGTCGAGATCGAGGACCGAAGAGATGGTGGAAGGTCGCAGCAGTGGCAACAGGCGATTTAGAGATCGTACGTAATGGCTGCAGGTAAAGCGCTCAGCCGGTGGAACGATCAATGCAGCAACCAGCAGCCCTTCCTACAACCCTGCCTGCGGTGGTGCGGCGCGAAGGCGAGGATCTGTAACCCTCGAGGGAGGACAGTAGTGGGGGGCGAAGCCACAGAAGGTTCCCAAAACCGAAGAATGGAGGAGACGGTCTACGGAAAGACAAAGAACAAGAAAGAAGGAAGGGAAAAGGAAGAAGAGAAAAAGATTGTGTCCAGGGGATGAATGGGAGTTGTGTGTGGTCGGTGTGGACGTTCGACGAGGAGTCGAGACACAATGGTTCGGAGACCAAGTCACGCCTGCAGGGGTAGTCCTGTGGTCATGAAAGGAAGAGTAAAATGACCAGGCGGATGACAGCAATTGCGCTGCGATCAATGGCCAGATTCTACCAAAACCTGCAATAAAGAGAAGTAAAGAGAAGCAGGGAGTATAATCAAAAAATGAGAACGAGATAAGTGAGAGAAAAGAGGGAAGAAGAAGAAGAGGGGAAAGATAAAAGAGAGAAGAGAGAGAGAGAGAGAGAGAAGGGGCAAGACGGGGTAATTCGAATACGAGAGACGCAGTACCGTAGTTGGGAGACTTAAGCGTAAGTATTGACTACGAACCACTAAAGAAACGTGGCGGTGCAATACCAGTCAATACCATACACATACATGACGTCGATCCATACAGTCCCAACCAATGGATGGGCAGCCTGAAATCCCTGGCCGTCTCCAGTTTTCAGCTCGCCTCTGCCTGAATTTGTCTCAGTTGCGGACTTGATCCGTGGTTGATCTGTTTCCCCTGACACGGTTTTAAATTACAGAATCTTACAGCCGGGAGTGAAGAGTGGCTGGTCAGCCCTATAAACCAATGCAATCTGCCACATGTTTCATTACTACGTCAATCTTTCATTCAACTCATATGATAGGATGACGAATTCAGGATGATAAATAGCGTAGGTAATAAAAAACGGCTACAGCTTTGATCCCCCCACCAACACAAACGTCCCATCCGGTCGCACCTCGTACTCGCGACCCGGTGCCCACCCCAACCAAGACTGCAGCGTCTCGGCCCCCCCAGTTCCAGGGCTCAGGCCACCCCCGCGCCAGCCGCCGTCGTCCGCGGGGATCGGCCGCGCCGGGGTGTCCACCAGGGTCACCGCCGCCCGCTGCTCGTACCCCCCCTGTTCCAGCTCGTCCTGCGTCAACACGGGCGTCGCGCACGCGTCCGTCCCGTCGAAGATCGCCTCCCACTCCGCCCGCGTCTTCTCCCGGAATCGTCGCGCAAACGCCGCCCGCAGTGCCGGCCAGTTGTCCCGGTCTTCGCGCGCCGGCAGCTCAGCAGCCTGGAAGCCTAGCCCCTTGATCAGGGCCGCGTAGAACTGCGGCTCCAGCGCCCCGATGGCAAAGTACTGTCCCGCGTCCTTGGTCTCGTAGGTATCGTAGAACGGACTGCCCCCGTCCAGCATGTTTTGGCCCCGTGGTTCCCCCCAGAACGGCGTCTGCAGGTTGAGCCGCGGCATCGCTGCCAGGTACGCCGACCCGTCCACCATGTTGGCTTCTACCACCTGGCCCCGCCCTGTACGCGCCCGCGATAGTAGAGCGAGCAGGATACCTTGGAAGCACATGGCTCCGCCGCCCGCGAAGTCTCCGAGGATGTTCCCCGGGGCGTAGGGGCGCTCTCCCGCCCGTCCTAGCATGGACAGCACTCCGGAAACCGCGATATAGTTGATGTCGTGGCCCGCCATGTCCTTATACTTCCCGTCGCGGCGGAATCCCGTCATGCGCGCTACGATCAGCCGCGGGTTGTGTTTGAGGAGGACCTCCGATGGGGACAGGCCCAGCCGTTCGAGGACTCCGGGCCGGTAGGGGTCGATCAGCACGTCTGCTTTCTTGAGGAGGGCGAAGAGAATGCGGTGTGATGCCTTGTCTCGAAGGTCCAGGGTGACGGACGTCTTGTTGCGGGTTAGCTGGTCCGCGCTGACGGCCTTGGGTCGGTCGATCCGGACGACGGAGGCGCCGTAGTCGGCCAGCAACAATCCGGCAAACGGGCCTACCACGCAATTAGTAGGTCTTCTCAGTACAAACTCGCGAGGGCAATGACAGTCATACCAGGAGCCAGGCCAGCTAGCTCGACGACGCGGATTCCATCGAGGGGTAGAGGAGGGGCGGACATGTTTATTTACAGAAAAGTGAGATGTAAAGATGGATTCTCGCACAAAATGTATTCTAATAGATTGAGAGACCACCACTGAACCGGCAGCGAGTGCGATGAGGTGTACTTAATGGGAAGGAGAGACGGAGGAAAGGAGTTTAACTCTTGAACTGTTGAGTTACCGGTTGTCATCTCCGCAGCCGAGGTCCGCCCACGTGCGGGGAACTCACTTCATGCGATGCGATTCTATCATTGTCATGCATGCAACGATCCATTGGGAATATTGAACATGATTCCGACAGAGAGGATAGCCCGTCCAATTGAGAACTCAATAGCCTCAAACCAAACCGTTAGGTGTTGTCTATCTGACTGGAACCAAGCCAAAGTCACTAGAACGGGTCCCCAATCAATCCGAATCTCCCGAATCCGAACCCGAATCAGAATCCCCTGAATCCTCCCGGCCTTCAGCTTCACCCCGATCGTAGGCATCTCCCATGTCGTCTCCGAATGATTCCACGGCACCGTACTTCTCCCCTGTCCACTCGGCGACGTTCTCGGGGGCTTCCTCGACGTTGTCCACCGCGTTGTCCCATCCGTCTTCCACCTTGTCCTCGGCGTTGTCCCAGGTTTCTTCAGCCTCGCCAACCTACGCTTCTGTTAGTACGTGACATCGACTCACGAGCACAGACGAACACGCCATACCTGTTCGCCAGTCCACTCGGCAACGTTCTCGGGAGCATTCTCTACATTCTCCACGGTGTTGTCCCATCCATCTTCCACTCGATCTTCGGCACGGTCCCAGCCCTCCTCAATATTCTCAGGGATCTGCTCAGCCTCACCAACCTAAATAAAACAGCCATTACCATCATCGCATCACCCAAATCAAGAATGAGAAACCACCTACCTTCTCACCAGTCCACTCCGCCGCATTCTCAGGGAACTCCTCAACATTCTTCTCAATATCGTCCTTGTTTTCGTCCCATTCATGCATCGCCAGCGCTCCACCCGCCACACCGGCAGCGGCACCCAATCCCGCATACAGCATACCGTTCCCACCGCTCTTCTTCTTCTCCGATGACTCCTCCGGTCGGTGCTGGTACTCTCCCTGCTGCTGGTACTCGCCCCCGTAGCCCCCGCCATACGGCGCCTGCTGCTGCTGTCCGTACCCCGGCGCGCTCCCACCGTAAGGGCCCTGCTGTTCACCATACGACGGCTGGCCCCCACCGTAGGAAGACCCCGGATGATTCCAGCTCGACTCTCCAGTCTGCTGGTTCACGAAGTACCAGCGCTGGCCCTGTTCATCCCAGCGGGCGGCCCATGGGTAAGGCAGGTCCTGTGGACCGGAGGGGGGCCCGGAGGGAGGAGGAGCACCGTATCCGCCGTCGTACCGGGGTTGAGACTGGGACTCGCTTTCGTAGGACTGGTGGGATTCGCCGTGGTCGCCGGATTTCTTTTCCATGTATTTTTGGGCGAGTTTTCCGACGAATTCCATCTTGGTGGTTGTTGTTGGTTGTTGGTGTAGATGTAGATTGTAAATTGTAGGTTGTAGATTGAAGGTATAGATTTCAACAGAAGGGTATCTTTTATACAGAAGAAGGTTTAAATTAAAGGAATAAAGGGGCAATAAATAAATAAATAAATAAACTAAATTATCCCCCCCGAGTCCTTTCTAAGATTAAGAATGAAGGAGGAGGGGTAGTCTATTCTCTAGATTAGTACTACTACCTACTTACTTAGTTACTACTAGGACAGCAGTACAAATAAGTCAATCCAGTTCGAGTGGAGTAAATGAAGATCCAACTAATACCAACAAACTAGTTGCAATCACGTTCACATCGTTGAGAGTAACAGGGAGAAGAAGAGACAAACCCAAAAGAACACAGTATCTAGTTGGTATCTACAGGGAGCAAAGTAGGTAGTAGTAGGGATGTAAGTAAGAGTAGACTAGCTCGCCCAGACTTAAATGAAACGGAGCTTAAGTTGGATCCATCATGAAACGCATGCCTGTCTGTCTTTGTGTCTTTGTGACATTGTGCGCATTGTGGCATTGTTTGTGACGCCACCTAGCTGCCTTCATACTCTTACTCCGTAGCACGAACAAAGACAGCTAGTAGGTAATGTTGATCATTTTCCTTCTGTGGATCCGTCTGTGGGGTGTGTGATCTTACACTCCTCCACTGTCCACACTGGGGTTCGTCATTTCATCCCTGGCTTCACTTTTTTCCACTCTCGGAGGGGTTTAATCCTTCTTCTGTTTCCTTCCTTTCTTCCTTCCTTCTTCTTGAGGAAAGGGGGGGGAGGAGGAGAATTTACACACTACCTACTGTAACATACAGAGGGGTAAGGAAAAGGAAGGGAAAAACCATGTGGAGCAATAATTAATGGTGGTGCCTGATCTGGAATTATACCCCGTCGGATCTAGCAGGTAGTTTAACGACTAGTTCGGTTAGGTCGGAGCTTGTCTGTTGTTCTACGCAGGTACGACGGGTTGAGGTGGAGATGTTAGGTAAATCTTATGGTGATACGTTGGTGGTGGTGTCATGCTAGCGAATAGGTTTTGATGATAGAGTGAAGGTGTGAGAAAATTGAGGAAGGGAAAAAGGTCAAGCAGCATCAATGCTAAGAAAGAAAAGGTGTCCCACGGTCTTGGAAAGGAAGATGCGATTAATTTTGATTTGAAGCTTTACAACACGGCAAAAACCATCAGTCCCACAACTACCAGCGCCGCCACCCCTTCGCTCAAACTCACGCTCCGCACACCCGCACCGGTGAACACCGGCGTCTCCACCTGGGTTCCGCTCGGGACAACCGTCACCCAAGCATGAGATGCACGGGCAGAGCCACTCGGCGACGGCCGGACTGCCAGTGTCGACGAGTGTGGGGCACTCCCGGCTCCGGCGCCCGGGATTAGGGGACGGCTTGACGTCGGGTGGGCAGGGATCGGAATCAGCGTGTAGGTCTCTGTCGAACTGGAGGGAGCATTAGGGCCGCCGGTGGCCTCGAGGGCGGGCTCCACGGGTACCGTGACGGTCAGCGTGGTGGGCGTCGGGGCGCACTCGGTGCACACGGTTACCGTCGTGGTCCATCCCTCTGGGAGCACGGGAGCCGTGGAGACCTGGGATACTGGGTTTGCAGGAGGGTTCGTCGTGGTTTCAGCGGGCACGGTCAGCGTCACCGTGGTGGGCGTGGCTGCGCACTGCGTGCAGACTGTGACCGTCGTTGTCCAGCCTTCGGGCACAGAAGCCGTTGATCCTGTCACCGAGGGAGGCTTGGTGGTCACTGTGACTGTGACGGTTCCTGGGCAGTAGGTGGTCGTGTAGGTCGTGGTGATCGTGGTAAATCCCGTGGGACAGATGGTGGTGTACGAAGTGACAATGACGGTGGTCACTGTGGCCGGCGCGGATGTTATAGCCGCCAGTGTGGTAGGCGGTGTTGACGATTCACTGGTCGGGTGCAGAAACGAGACGGAATGGCTGGATGCAGTTGGAGTCTCCGAGCTCGACGGCGAGGCGGTGCGAGATGGAATCGCCCGCGAGCTCGACGGGGTGCCTGTCGGACGCCCTCGGGAGGTGGAGGTCACCGTGGGAATCACGGGCCTCGAGCTGGTGGACGTCTTCGAAGTAGTAGGGAAGGGGACCGGAGCGTTGGACGACGGGAGTGTGGGCGTGGAAGCGCGTTCATTGAGGATCGCCTTGACATTACCGGCGAAACTGGACCCATTGACCTGGTTGAGTTCCGAAGAGGTTGCCTCCCAGATCATCACACCACCAAAGGTGTCCGGATAGAGGTCCATGTACCTGGAAACTAGCGGTTTCACCTCGTTAGGAGAAAGATAGAAGCCATTCTGCGAGATGTCACCCCCTAGCAGACCGATGTACAGCTTCGCAGACGGGTTCGCCCCGTCCTTGATGACCTCGACCCAAGCATCGTAGTTGAACGAAGCTCCCGGGCTACTAGGGGAGAAGAAGTCACGAGCCGAGCAGCCCCAGGTGTTGTAGAACTGTACCCAGATAAAGTCAAACCAGGAGTTGGAAATGGCGCGACCCAGTTGCGCGTCCGGAATGATACATTGAGGGGCCCCGGAGATGTAGAAGGACCGGTCAGTGATTGCAGCGTAGTGCTCGCGCAAACGCCTCACCATGGTGTCGTAGCCTGCCGCCGTTAATGTTGCGTGCCACCAGCATAAGAAGGTGAGGCTACATACCCAAGTCGCCGTTGTGCTCGATATCAAAGTCAAACCCATCCACCACGACGTCGCTAAACGGACGGGGGCCGCCGATCTCTACCCACGCATCCGTCTGCGGGCCAAAGGCAGCCCAAAGAAAGTCGGCGAATTGAATGGCTGACTCGTCGGAGAGAACCCTCTGCTTGTCAGCCGGAGACGCGCCACCAAGGGACAGCAGAACCTTTTTGCCGGCCTGCTGGCAGATGGGAATGTCTTCGATCAACTGGTGACAACCCGAGAGCAGCTGTGTCTTGACCCCACCAATCTCGTAGTAATCTCCATTACATTGATTCCCAAAGTTACTCCCTGGCCAGCCCGCATCTCCCGCATCGGGAAACACATTGATGAAGCCAATGTTAATAATGTCTAGGGCCGGATCCTCGCAGAAGCGACTGAGGCGCGGCTGATCGTACCCTTGACCCTAGAGAGATATCAGCGTCAGACCTACTAGAACTAGTTGCAAAGAGGGCCAGTAGATTGGCCATACATAGTAGATTGCCACATTGGACTTGGACTGAGCGTCAAAGGCGGACCCCAACGGCATCAGTGCCGACACGGCCGTGGCAACGGCGAGATTTTTGGACAGCATTTTGCAAGATAGAGAACGACAGCTGGTTCGGAATTGAGATAGAGCTGAGTATGCCAGGCAACTTTAATGGCAGAATTAATGAGAGGACACAGACAACAGTCTGCTGGAACAGTCTCCAGGTCAGTTCGCAAAGCTGGAGAAGAAAAGGAACGTCAAGGACGAAGGGCCGTGGGGAAAGACATCGGTAGTATATATCCCAGCGGGGCCTTTTTCTCCCCTCCAAGTAAAGATCAAATGACACCTGCGTTCCAACGTCCAATTTCCTAAAAATGGTTTGGTCGCACCAGGGTTGCTCAATTGTGACAGAACCCAGCATCACGGGGAAATGATTCCAACGGCCGGCTGGTCCGGTGAGAACCAGACACTGAAACGAGAGTGCATTGAGCAATCACGCCGGGTCTAGATGATGCATCTGAAATGAATGTGCGCCGTACTAGCCGTAGTCGGCTATAAATCCAAGATACTGGGTAGTGCTGGAGGTCGAAGAGGTGCAGGGTGTTCACCACGCGGTATCTTAGAACCGTAGAGCCGCACTAGCGAGCCCTAGCAGTGCGGTTTTCAGAAGTGTCGCAGCCCCCGCATGAAGCGTTCTGATCAGCCTCGGTCATCTTGCCGGATCACACCCAGGCAGCGCGGGTCCAATAGGTCAGATGGCTCGGTTATACTGGACGGAAGAAAGTCCAATGGCCGTCTCTGTACCTGCACAAGTGGATCAGAAGACAAACCTTGATAGGTGGTGGAAAGAGGCGAATGTTCCGGTGGAAGCCACAAGGTAGATGGTGGGATATAAATCAGGTAGGTTGGCGGAGGTAAGTCATGGCAAACAATGAGGTTATCCTGGTCTTGGTTAGGGCCCACGTTCGGACCAGTCCATGGTGTGATTGATCTGTACCGGTAATATGACGGAGTGAGACCAGTTTGGTACGGGCTAAGCCACATCAAGGCTGGAGTTGGGACAGTGCACCAGTCTTATGTAGCACAGACTCAATTCTCAAGAGAGATGATACCGGTACGACAGCGGTACGATGTAGTAAGGCACCAGGTACAAGACCGTATTTCTAGGGTTCATGGCGGAAAGACAGCCGGATCATCAGTGGCAATCTTGATCTCTTCACTCTCCTAGTCCACTACTATGGAGGTACCGACAGGTAGTACTAGTATCAAGTGCCACTACACAGTCCACCTGAGGTTGCAACGGAAAATTCGACAAACCCAAATCAAGGCAATCTCCACTTCATCCAGATAGCATCGGATATAAACAGACCAACGATAATGCCCCGCTAAGCGATCTCATACCAACGATATAGGGTGAGAATAGCCGATAAGACCGTCGAACACCATTATTAATGACCGGCATGGTGGAATTTTCTATCGATTTTGAAACTAGCGTTTGCCTCGATCGAATATTGCTGGGGCAGATATTCGATATATTATCAGTATACTAGGAGGAGACAATGAGGATAGCCGGTTCTATAGGCCATTACTCTTCGCCACAATCCGATGTCTTGGTGCAGTTACTAGATCGCCAAGAACACTGCGTCGTTACATTCATATCTTGCAGATTTGGCTGCTATGCAGGGGTCCACGTTTGATATATGATACACCTAACGGTGCGACGCAAGAAGTGTGGGCATTTTGAAGCTATGCCGACATGGAGCTGACCATACGATATACTCAGCAGACTTCCTTCTATGTCTCACAAAGTACGGCCTGACGTTCCAGTATCTGATCAGCCCTTTCAGCTCTTGGTACGATGCATATGACTTATGTTCCCAGCCTCAAAAGTCCAGATCGATGTGTGATATCAGTTCGTGAAACTGTGTAGAAAATGCCTGTCGTTTTTGGATCTATTCGCAGATTTTGCTGTGATGGAGAGCTTGTCGCGGTCTCCATCTGCGAGCTACTTACTCCTTCATTCGTGTCTAGGGTTGGTAGGGCACGAAAGATTTGACCTTGGACGATGAAGTGGAACCAAAGATATTAACGCCCTAGAACGAATATTAGCACTATCAAACCACAACAGATACTTATAGGTCAACTCCAGATGATGAGACGTAGAAGTTCTACTTCTCTGGTAACATCGCGACATTATCGTGACCAGAATAGCTCACTTGTTTCATGCTTTGCGATAACAGCGAACTGAGCATCATCAACTCGGAGACCAAGGGTAAATAGACAGAATATTGGGAAAGAAACGCGAGATACAATAGCAACCACGCAGGACCGATCGACATCCCTCAGCCTACTACCCCTCATCTACATCCTCACTACAACCACCCCAAAAGCAAAAGCATACAAAACACAACACGGCCCCACCAAACCAATATCCCATATCATTGCTCATCCAAAACAAACACCATGGTCCAAACAGCCCAGGTCTCCTCCGCCCTATACCACAGCCCCAAGGGCTTCACAACCCTCGGCGAAGGCCCCTTCTACCGCGCCAGCGACTCCACCCTCCACTGGTTCGACTGCCTCGCCACCCCATGCGAGCTCTACATCCTCCCCGTAGACCCAGACACCGGCGCACCCCGCGGTGAAGCCCGCGTCCTACCGCTCGCCGACAGCGTCACGGTAGCTGGATTCCGCAAGGACAAACCCGGTAGCTACATCGCGGCGTATTACCAGGGCGTGTGCACGGTCGACGAAGAGACGGGCCGCATTGACGTGGTCCGGGAGATTATCCCGACCGATCAGCGGGACAATCTGCGCTTCAACGATGGAGGCGTCGACGCCGGCGGCCGCTTCTGGCTCGCTGAGATGGATCTCCAGGCGATGAAATACGGGCTTGACGGTGTACCTGAGAGTTACGGAACCCCGAAGGGTAGACTGTGGCGGTATGATCCTGATGGGAGTCTACATTGTATGATTGATGGGGGCATCACCTGTGGGAATGGCGTGACCTGGAGTCCGGATAACAAGACAAGTCTGTCTTTCCATATCTACTATCCATCTATCAACTGGGTGAGATTGCACGCTAACAGCCATGCGGACAGTGTACGTGAATGATTCCGCCGCTCTACACGTCTACGCCTATGACTTTGATTTAGAGACAGGAGGGATCTCCAACCGGCGCATCTTAGTCGATGAACGACAATGGTCTGGGGGGGCACCCGATGGCATGGTCGCGGAGTAAGAATCCCACAAAACAACCTACAAATCTTGGATCAAAAATTGCTAACACCGTTTCAGCACCCAAGGAAACCTGTGGATTGCTGTCTACGCCACGCGCCGGGTCATGGTTTTCCGTCCCGATGGGACCCATCTCCGCGACGTTGAATTCCCGGCCCGCGACGTGACGTGCACTACATGGGGCGGCAAAGACCATAATATCCTCTACGTGACGAGTGGGACAAACCACAGTGGGACGCATCCTTCGGGAGAAGAGGGGGGCCCTGTGTATATGTTCCGGCCGGGGGATGCGCGGGGGCAGGCTAAATATGAGTTTGGGGCGTAGGCTATCTTGCTTCTGTCATATATGTATATGTAGATATGAAGCGGGATATCATATAATGACTGTCTCATACCAAGTATGCTAGCCTAAACAGCCGCAATGCACTCGATCTCCACATCGGTATCCAACGGCAGGGTCTTGACAGCCACGCACCTATCCACCCACATCATTAGCATCCATCCGCATAGGCATACAGGAAAGGAAAATAACGTACGTCCGACAAGGCTTAACATCACCCCAATACTGCATATACACCGAATTCATCTCGGCAAAATCATCCATATTCGACAGAAAGACATTCACCTTGAGCACCTTGGTGATGTCACTCCCAGCCGCCTCGAGGACATGGCTCAGATTCTTGATACATTGGTGCTGGGTACATTATTAGTAGTCTAGGTCTAGGTCGAGTGTGGCTGGTGGAAGGGAGACAACGCACCGTGTGCACCTTGACATCGCCGTCGACGATCTTGCCGGTCTCCGGGTCCATGGCGACTGCGCCGGAGCAGTAGATGGTGCCGTTATTGACAATTGCTTGGGAGTAGATGCCTGGGAGGGGCTTGGGGGCTTTGTCTGTGAGGATTGCTGTTTTGGAGGACATTCTGGTGGATTTCTATATCTATGTATGGATATAGATATAGATATAAATATATTTTAGTTGAGTAGAGGTGTGGAATGTAAACTTAGGTATTGGGATAATCGAGAAGGTTGTCAGAAGAGAAGGGGAAGGGTTGAGGAATGAGGGGTATGGATATCGACTCCCCTCATCTCTGATATACTACTGCACTACTCTGTACTTATCATGAAGGATCGATTGTCCACCTCAGACGGTTCTGGATTGACCTGCCTGATTGAGCAATCGGGAGTATAGTTCTGTATGATACAGTACCGTTACATACGAGAATACACCACAGACCAGCTGACTGATCCTCCTGATCCATCCTGATTGATCATCTTCACTGTTTCTTCTCCACTTCCTCTCTCCTTAGGTCTAACATCTCCATTTCCATTTCTACACTAGGGAGATATCTTTGGAGTATGCTTTATCGTGTTTGATGGTCTCCCCCGCCATAAGGACACTAACTGACTCCATAACGAGGTTCCTTTGGCTCAATCCAGTCAACTTCTGGACGATCCCTTGTTATCACTACTGCGATAACCCCCACGCTCTCCTTGCGACGCGCCTGTTCCCCTCCTTGCCGACAGCTAATCATACGCTCTCGTCGGGGAGATGGAATGTAACAGCCGTGGTCGAGCCAAAAGGACCAGTGGAGAGAAAGGATGCAGAAGGAATTCCTGGACCGTTGCGTTTAGAAAGTATTTACCCAACAATCGTACCTGACCCTTAGATCACTCTATCGCCTCGTGTTCAGTCATTCAACTGGAAGGTTGCTGCAACTATATAAAATCACGTATCCCCGCCCCTCCTGGCCCCATAACTACAGTCCTTGTGGAACCGCACACTGCAATATACTGCAAGCCATCATGTCCCTTGTCTCCGACCCCCAACCCCCCTATCCTCTCCATGAGTCCGTGAAACACCTGCTGGACCCCGAATATGTCAACTTCTACAATAAATATGTAGCCAACTTGCAGCAAGTCCACCGCCAACCGGTCGCTGCCTCCCGTACAGGCGGCGTCTTGATCCCGGGTGGCGGGCCCCTCCTCGACGTCGGTAAGACTGAGGACATTACCATCCCGCGTCGTGAGACGGAGGGTCCCGAGATCCTGTTGCGCGCCTTCACTCCAAGCGGGGAGAAGCCCGCCGCGGGCTGGCCCGTCATGCTTTACTTCCACGGCGGAGGCTGGGTTCTGGGAAACATCAATACTGAAAACCCAGTGTGTACGAACCTGTGTGTTCGGGGGGAATGCGTGGTAGTGACCGTAGATTACAGGTTAGTCTCCTGAACTCCGCTGGATGAAAGTCCTTCTCAGAAGATGGCCCAAGCGAGAAACATTCCGAAGAGAAGGGAAAACCACTCAGTAGAAAGTGGAAAGGTAACAGTGACTCACAGACTGGCCCCCGAAAACCGCTGGCCGGCCGCCGTTCATGACTGCTGGGAGGCCCTCCTCTGGCTGATCACGGAGGGCCCTGCCCGACTGGGCGTCGATATCTCGAAGATGGCCACGGGGGGTTCCTCAGCTGGAGGCAACCTCGCAGCCATCATCACGCACAAGGCGCTGACGCTCTCCCCGCCGGTTCACTTCCTCGCCCAGCTTCTCTCCGTCCCCGTCACCGACAATACGGCCACCGTGGCCAACAACGAATCCTACCGTCGCTATGAGCACACTCCGGCTCTGCCCGCCCTCAAGATGATCTGGTATCGCGAGCATTATCTCCCCAACGAGGCCGAGCGCACCCACCCCGAGGCTAGTCCGTTGTTCTACAAAGGGGACTGGTCGAAGCTGCCGCGCGCCTTGGTCATGGTTGGCGAGCTGGACGTTCTCCGCACTGAAGGCGAGCAGTACGCTGAGAAATTGGCCCAGGCGGGGGTTCCGGTTGACTTGCAGGTCATGAAGGGCATGCCGCATCCTTTCCTGGCTATGGATGGTGTGTTACAGGAAGGAAAGCGCAGCATCACGTTGATGTGCGATCTGCTGAAGGACGTTTTTGGAAACGCGTGATTCCGCAAGTTAGAAGAATAGAGACGATATATGATGGCGTGGTCATGCCTTCGGTCATGATGGGCGAGGCTCGGAGTGGGATTCTCTCAAGGCTGTTGTAGCGATTTTCCGATCAATGTAAGAGACGGTAGCTATCTCACAAGAGTCTCACAAAGCTCCCCTAGAATGAACGTCAATGATGTCGTTGCAGGCTCCGCGTACTAGGCCTCAGTTGTTGAACCGGCAGCATCGATTGATGGCATGCCAGCATTTTCTTCAAATGACCCTGTCGGACAATGGAAGAATCCAGGGAAGAGTAGTTATTGCATCCAGAATCGCCAACAGGGAGCTCCTCATCTATAGAGTCACGTGAGCGCCCTTTCGGTCATCCCTGGATCAACATCGCGAGTCGCTTCTTCTTCCCTTTCTCTCCCCATCTTCGCTCCTATGTCCTCCTGTCTCCTCCTACATTCTGGTCGATTGTCCTGCTCCCTCATATTCTTGGCCCCTGTCAAGGATTAGGTCTCCCTCAGTTCCCCTTCCACTGCGTGCACTCGCCAGTTTAGGCCCAGTCCAGTGCAATGATGGTGGCTGCAAAGGCTACTCCACTCTCTCTATCTAGGGGTGGAAATCGACACCAACCTTGCACATGGCTGAAGTCAATAGTGTTTACACCCAACTGCAGGGTTTCGCCAATATAGGACGCGGTTCGCCACCAGACTGACTCCTTGACTGCGAGTCTGCCTACTAGTATCTTCATACCCAGGGATCTGTCATCCATCCCCCCCAAACATTCCTGGCACGCGAAATCAGTCATTTTCCCCATCTGGACCGACTCTTCTCCGTCGGGGGGGCATTCTTGAAGAACCTCTCGACGCCCTCCTTCCCACACGCGGTTGGAACAATGCCTGTTGCTCATCCATTCCGGCCCCTCTACTCCTCGGTTGACGCGCCGGAGGCGCTCAATTATATCTTCTTATTTCGCCGGCTGGGAATCCTGCCACTGGTGGTAGATTCTCTTTCCTTTCCATATCTTTGTATACTACTTTGAAGACTAATAGACTTTGTATTGTCTGTGGATTGTGGGCATCCCCAGCCCCCCATTCTTCTGTCTAATTTTTCCCGCTCTTCGTGGGCGATCCCGTTTCATACTCACGTTGAGTCCCCGGTGTTTTCTGGTTGTTGCTCATTATCTCTGCTCACGGCTTCACGCTGTTTGTTAAGCCTGCCCAGTGGTGGCAATCATGGAAACCAACCAAACGACGTCGAAAAAGGCCGGGTCCTGGACGAAGGTCGTCATATTCGTTTCTCTCTATGTACTCCTCCTGGAGTCTGTCATTGAGTGGGCGCTGGTCCTCTACCTCTATGGAAGCCGACTGGTGGACTCGAAGATGGCCCCGAGTCTCATCCTTGCCTTGATCGCGGTAAGAGCCCCCTCGTTCTTCCCTAGCCTTTTTTGGGAAAGCCATGGATTGACAGAATCATAGTCGTTTTTTACAGTACCCCTGGTGGTTCTCCATAGCTTTCTTGCGTGGCAGCACAATAAAGTCGCCGGATTCGAGAGTCAGAAGGCGCTCCTGTGCACCGTATGCACGTATCTCTTGCGATTGACCACCATCGTCTGGTTAGCTGCTAGCGTGGCAGGCTTGGTGGTCGTGGCCCAGCAAGCTTCCTGCTCCCCGGATAGCGGGCATGGTGACTTCTGGAGGACCGGCATCAGTTGCGCATTGCATAGAGCAGCCGTTATCGTTTCAATTCTATCCTTGTAAGTCTCCACATGGGTAGATCCACCTAGAACGCACTGACCAGGAGTTCTAGCATCACTGTGTGTCTATATTTCTGCTCCCGAGAGCTCTGCGCGAGTCCCTACGCGGTTTCATTACTGGGGGTATACAAAGAGGAGACTCAACAGAGCGACGAGAGCATATTTTCCAGCTCCAGTTTAGACAGCGATACCACCCTGAAGAACGACATCCTCTATCTCTGTCGTGGCCCGGACGTGACATACGGGACCGGACTTTACGTGTCGCCAGGCCATAACTTCATCCCGAAATCAGGGACCATTGAACAACCCACCCCGGTCCACCCATGGCCGCAGATGAAGTTTGGCGCAGACCCAACCTATGAGGATGCGGAGGTTCTGTCAGGGACGACTGTTTCGCCCAACGGTACTTTGAACCAGCTCTCCTCAGCAGGGAACACGAATCCCGACCTGCTGGCCATCTCTCGGACCCCCACAATGGCGACATCTAGCACCGACAGGCATAAGCGTCCCCAAGCTCCTCCAGTCGCAGAGCTACCTAGCGGGTTGGAGTCCTTGTCCAGACCAGGACATAAACGGCAAAAGTCGTCTGTTACGTCGCTTCGCAGATTTCTCCCTAAGATCTTTGCTTTCTCTTCCCCTTTGTCGGCAGACCCCCAGATCCGTGCCCTTGCAGAGTCGACTTGTACTCGAGATATCGAGAAGCAAGCAGATAGCGCGGAGAGTGCTCGGACTGTCTTGCAAGGTCATGGAAATTCGGTACCTTCACGGCCAGAGCAGCCAGCAAAATCAACAGCCCCCATCCACACAGCTCCTGTCCAGCAAGCCTCCGTCCAAACAGCACCGGTCCAACCGACCCCTGTCCAAACAGCTCCTGTGCAGAGCGCTCCCATCCAGCCAACTCCTATCCAACCAGCCCCCGCCCAACCCCGCGGACCGCAAACCCCCCCAGGAAAGACCCTGACCCGCTCTGACACCATGAGCTCCGCAGACGCCCCAGAAGTCGCTCGACCGGCTCCCTTAAACGTCCGTCGATCAAACACTTCCCAGACCGCACCAATCTCCCGCACCCCATACTACGCTCCTCCCCGCGATCCATCCTCTACCCCCCCAAACCCAATGACCCAACACCCCGTCAACCGATCTCTCTCCTACGGAGGGCCCCCGGCAGGCCCTAGCCTCGCCAAACGCCAAAGCACCCGACGCAGCAGGAGACCCCAAACCCAGCTCTACCAGTTCGAGAACCCACACATCCCGCGCCACACCCGAAGCCAGTACCTACCCCAAGCGTACTACAACACCAACAACCGCCAACTTCCCTTCGAACCCCCGCGGAGAATATCGTCCCTGCAGCGTAGGAACGACGTCGAGGTCATCTACCCCAGCACCCGCCGGCCCCGTAGCACCACCTACGGCGGCCTCGGCTCGTTCGGCAATCTGGATTGTATTCGCGAATCGGGCGCGTCGGTGGACGAACCGCCGGAAGATGTGTTCACGGATCGGGGCACTTATAGGGGGACGACGAGGACTAGTATGAATGGGTATTGAGGGCTTTGAGGAGGAGGAGCGGTGTGATGTGTGTATGATGAAGCGTGTCTGCCTGCTGGTCGGGTGGGAGTAAGTCTTCTGTTTCCTTGAATTCATTTCATACTATGTGGTCTTGGTGTTTTATTTATGGATGATGGGATATATTTAATCACTTGATTGCGGTTTTGGATGGAGTGCTATACCAATTTGGATGAAGATACTATGATACTACTATACAATTACTATACAACTACTATACTGCTACTATACTGCTACTATACTGCTACTATACTGCTACTATACTGCTACTATACTGCTACTATACTACAAATGTACGATTAAGATGACGATGCTGATAAA